AAAAAATTATTCTCCAAAGAAAAACGACTATACTGATCATCCAGCTGTGACAGGAGGTCATGAAAACGGATGGTGGCAAATGAAACGTCATTAGCAGCATGCTCCCTGGGAGATTTAAAATTTACACATTTTATTTTATTTTATTCATTTATTTTTTTAAAGATTTTATCCATTTATTTGACAGAGAGAGCGAGAGAGCACAAGCAGGGGGAACAGTAGAGGGAGAGGGAGAAGCAGGCTCCCCGCCAAGCAGGGAGCCGACGCGGGGCTCGATCCCACGACCCTGAGATCATGACCTGAGCCGAAGGCAGATGTCCCACCATCTGAGCCACCCAGGCGCCCCTTATACATTTTATTTTAGATACTACTTTAAACAGACAAAATAAACATCGCTTTCCTAATGAAAACTATTTAAGAAACCAAATTTTAAGCGTTCTCTTAGGTTTTTTTTCTTCTTTTCAGACTGACTTAGCTTTTAACAGCAGTTTGTACAATCATGAAAAATTCCAGAACTCAGACTCTGCATGAAACTGTTAATGGTAATTATCTCTGGAGGGGAAAAAAATAGGGACCTTTACTTTATATGTCATTTAAAATTTTTGCAATCAGCAAATAGTAAATTTTAAAGTAGAATACATACCAGTTTTTAGAGATAGCCCCCTAATTTTATTACCTTCTTCCTATTTCTAATCAATGCTTTACCATAATTCGGCTGTCATTATTTCTTTTAACTTACTTCTTTCTCTAACCTGGATCCTAATGCAGAAAATAACTGGCGCCAGCATTATCCAACTTGTCCAAAGCATTTAGAAATCTACCCCATAATTAAACGGGTAAAACTACATAAAAGTACTTAATGACTAACACAGTTAGCTTTGTAGAGATAAAACACCAGTTTTCAGACCAGCACATTTATTTGCAACAGATAATCCAAATGGCTACAGTGAGATTCATCTCTTAGCCAGTGTGGCTCCGAGGCACTTAACCTCTTTAAAAGCAGAGCTTCCCTTACCAGTCTTGTTTTTCTAGCCACTGTGCCAGGTACTGTCTGATTTCCATGGGAAAACTGTCATCATAGAGCTGGTGAACCTGCTCCAGGAATTTGGAGTCAAGCTGCTGAAGCTCATACCACTGGGACATCCTACAAGGAAACAGAGCACAAAACCACGGTCAGGAATGGAAGATCACAGTTCCAAAGAAGGCGTATCTAGCATTATGCTTCTTTTAAATATCTTACTTAATCTAAAACATAATTTGTCTCTGAAATATACTATTTAAATGGTATTTATATTCGGAAGTCTGTTTTTTTATTAAGGTTTTGTTTTGTTTTGTTTTGTTTTTTTCTCTTCTCCAGAAAACACATCTTCAGGCCTTTTGCTCAAATGTCAACAACATATCAGGGAAGCCTTTTTGGACACCTTACTTAAACTGACATCACTTCTCACCTCATAAAACACTATCCCTACCCCCTGATGTGTTCCCCTCCATAGCACTTACCACCAGCTAACCCACCATATATTTTCTTTTATTTTGATTACTGTCTGTTTTCCCCACGTGAAGGGAAGAATTTGGAGGGTGGGCAGACTGTTCACGGCTGTATCTCCAGAACAGTGCCAGGCACATAATATGACTTTGAGATGAATCTGCACTTTTATCGAATAAAAAATGGAAACCATTACTTCATTAGATTTGCTTTCAGACAAATCCCAAGAACCCTCCAAAAGTTGCTCTCTTAGAAATACAGTACTTTTGGGGTGCCTGGGCGGCTCAGTAGGTTGGGCGTCTGACTCTTGATTTTTGCTCAGGTCATGATCTCAGGGTCATGAGGTTGAGCCCCACAATGGACTCTGAGCTCAGCGGGGAGTCTGCTTGAGAGTCTCTCCCTCTCCTGCTAACCCTCCCACTGCTCTCAGGTCCTCTCACTCTAAAATAAATAAATAAATCTTTTTTTTTTTGAGATTTTATTTATTTATTTCAGAGAGAGAGACAGCGAGAGAGGGAACACAAGCAGGGGGAGTGGGAGAGGGAGAAGCAGGCTTCCCTGCCGAGCAGGGAGCCCAAGGCGGGGCCCGATCCCAGGACCCTGGGATCATGACCTGAGCCGAAGGCAGACGCTTAACCACTGAGCCACCCAGGCGTCCCAGTAAATAAATCTTAAAAAAAAAAAAAGAAATACAGTGCATTTGTAATTTAACTCAAAGAATTTTAAACTGGTATTTTACATTTTGTGATTCAAATGCTAAAATGAATTATTTTTGTCCCATACCTTTTAAAACAGATTTTCTTCTTGGCCTACTATGAATAATAAAACTAGTACAAAAACTCTTAAATCTCAGTAATAATTTAAAGATTGAAACAACATACCCCTGAAACAAAAAATACATTATATGTTAATAAAAAAAAATTTAAACAGTCAAGAAATCAACAAGAAATACACAAGAAAAAAAAAGAAAAAGCATTCCTTTTTCTTTCTTTAAAAAAAAAATAAAGATTGAAACAACATTGTTAAATATAATTTCAAAAGATAAAGTAATGCTACCTCTTTGGATAACTGTTAAGTAAATTTTTACATAGCAGTTCTAGGGGAATGAAAACAAAACCCTGATTTAAGGAAGTCCTAACATCTATGAGGAAAATGAAGAGCCTCCCATTACCACAGCATAACTTAAGATTTACACCAGTGCACAGCCAATAATATGCAGAGTGGGTATATGGGAATCTTGTCCTACCAGGCCTCTGAGGAAGGGGTCTGGATTTTCAAGCAGGGTATGGAAAAGCTATGCATGCTTGCGGTCAAGCATGTACGTGCAGGCATGAAGTCATGTCTACTTCACGAATTTCCTTCCAAAGAAAAGCAAGGATATAGTGGGACTATAAAGCTAGTTACCATCACAAATACCAGTAGAAATGGACACAAACCCACCCTTTGGCACACCTTCTATAGGAATTTGATTTTGCACTTCAAATTATTTTACCTGGGCGGGTGACTCCAAATCTGTGGCTCTCTCCCCACCCTGGTAGGCGTTTAATAAGGATGTGCCTAAAGCAAATATGCTGGCCAGGGGGTCAGCCAAAGGGGGTATGACACCTCTTATTAGATGCAGGACCTCAGGCAACTCACTTCCCTATCAAAGGTGTGGTTGTTAAGACTGGATGAACTAGTACAGAGCACGGAGCAGGCGATTAATAAATTCATGCTAACAAATCCAGAATCCATATCATCTTCTCACAAAACCCGTAACCAACGCAAGGAGGGACATGATAATCCCCCAATCACTGGGCTCAAATTCCAATGTTATGCGGACTCCTTCCTGCAGTCCCAAGACCTCCTGCCTCTGCTTCCAACACTACTTCCCAGTCGAGCCTCCTGCTGTACGCAGTTGGACCACATCACTGTCTTGCCCAAAATTGCTACAGTTTGCCCATTCCTAGGCTCTTTGCACCCTGACCCTATCTTCATCCATTAACAAAGCAAACCAGTCACCAAATTACCTACAGTGTCTTGGCCATGCCCAGCATTTCTGCTCCGCTCCAGCTATCACTCACCCTTGAAAACAGCCTCCCTACGAATTTCCACCTCTCTAAATCCTACCGTAATTCAAAGGTAGATACAAATGCCCTTCTTCCATAAAGCTGTCTAGCACTTACCCAGAGACAATTAAGCTTTGACTTGTGCCTCACAGCACTCTGTACCTCTATGACAGCATCATATAAAGCTCTAGGATTTCTCCCCTGCAGGATGTAAGTTTCAGAGCTGCCAGGACCATGTCTTCTTCTTTTTTTTTTTTTTTTAAACAGAACAAAACAAAACATCTTCGGTATAATACACAGTGTCCTGCACATAGTATGTACTCAATTAAGTTTATTGAATTGAAATCTAGTATATTTCATATTGAATTAGAAAGTAAAGGGCAAACCCTTTGTGCTCCACCAAGTTTGGGTTCTGCATCCTCATTAAGCAGCAGCTGCATACTGGATTGTGCTGGAGGCTCAAGTCTTATTTCTGTCCCATAAAAATAACAAAATAACCTCTCCAACCTATACATACAACACTCAAAGCACAGTCAAACACACACACACACACACACACACACATCACCCAAACTCCTCAGTATTAGTCACAATTTTTTTTAAAAGACTAATAGCATTTGGGGGTTTGCAGGAACTTTTATATTCCAGGAAGACATCAAGCTCCTTCATCTTTAAACATAGATGCAGAATTAAGATTCCAAAATTATGCACTCATTCATTCGTCTTCATGAACAAGTACTGACCTGTCACCTTGTGTCCCACCGAGGGGCTAAGGATTCAACCCAAGCCGCAGCTATACACGTGAGATGCCAAGACTGCTGAGTTTGCATGCACAGGGTGTGAGCGTCTAACCTAGACAGCTCTCCAAGGATGGCACAAAGCAAACGAAAACTTTTCTGTGAAAAGAAGAAAAGGTGACTGTGGTGAAAGTGGGTGGGAAGGAAGGAAAAGTGGGGGGTAAAAGAGGAGATGTAGTGTTTTATGGGCGAAAATTCTACTTCACAAGATTTCTTTACTGCTAGAGCAGGGGCAATCGAGTCATCACCAAGAAGGACGCTTAAGAGTATTCGGGATGACCGATTCGCCTGCAAAGCCCGCCCTCGCCAGGCCCCGACGGCGCGGTCCTGGCACATCCCACACCACCCGCACCCGGAAACTCAGGCCCACTCACTCTGCGCGCGGGGTCGGACAGCGGCGGGCGGAGGCGCAGCGGTGCTGCCTTTCCCGGGTTCCCGCACCCGGTCGGCCTCTGCTGGGTCTGGGGCCTGACGGACGTCGTCCCCGGTGCGGCGGAACCCTCCGCAGACTCTGTGGAGAAAAACGAAAGTACCAGCTGGGAGAAAAGACAGCTCCCGGCGCCCCGCCTCCTTCCGCCTCCGCCAATCACCGGGCGGCTGCCGCGCGCGGCCAATCGGACGTGGCTGTTCCGCAGAGGCGCTGCCTCCCCCCCCGCTCCGGGGGACCGCTGCACGGCCAACCCTCTGAGTCCTTCCTTGCTTTGCGCAGGGCCCCGCGGGGGGTGACATGAAGCTTGGCTCTGTGTTGCAACTTGGTCGGTTGGCGGTTACCTCTAGACATTATAGACAACAACTAAAAGGAAGTCTGTGTTTGCAGAGGCCCAAACTTGGAGACCCTTGCATTAAACCCGTATCTGTGAACCGAAGGCAGAAGACAGAGGTGGGCATTAAACTCTAAGCTAAATTCAGCAGCTCATCTGCTTGTTGCTAAACCCAGGGGACCGTTTTTTCTGCGCTCACCTTACCTGACCGCTCAGAAACGTTTGGCACAGTTGACGCCTCCATTTCTCAATACTTCTTCCTTGTCCATGAAACAACATCCTGCTTGTTTCTTCCCACCTCTACGGCACTCTTTATCTCCGCTTCACTCCACGACCAAACTGTTTGACGTTAAAGGTTGTCAGCGTCCAGATGTTGGTCAGTTTTACCCACATTTCTCACGCTGTCCTGTGATGACCTCACCCAGAGCTTCAGTTTCTTTCTAGATGTGAAGGGCTTCTACATGTGTGTCCTGTCCACACCTGTGTATCCTGTCCACAACTCTCCTCTATGTTGTACACCTGCAAGTGTATAGTCGTCACTTGACATTCCACTTGGATGTCTGATAAGTTCTGCAAACTAGTTATATTCAGAACGAACTCATCATCTTTCTCCTCAAACCTGCCCTTTTCCCCTAGAATTGGCATATGTCAGAGAGCTAGGAGTCATTTTTGATATTGCCTTCTCCCTCAACCCTCACATCTGGTCCTCAAGCCTTGTTGATTCTTCTTGCTAAATATTCCTCAAGTCTCATCAACTTCTCTCCATCTCTTATACCAGCCCCACTTTTTTCTCATTTGGATTATTGCAGTAGAGTCCCAAATGGCTGCCTGACTTAAGCTCTTCATTGCCCCCTTTTTTAAAAAGTTTATTTTTTTAACTGATCTCTACACCCAAAGTGGGGCTTGAACTCACAGTCCTGAGATCAAGAGTTGCATGCCCTACCAACTGAGGCAGCCAGGTACCCTGCCTTTAATTCCCTTTTAATCCATTCTCCATGCAACAGTTTGAGTGATTTTTTTTTTTTAATTTCAAAGCAGATCATGTGTTTGCCAACTTGAAAATCCCATGATGGCTTTTACAGAATTCAAATTTCTTAATATAGCTTACAAAGCCTTGGTTCCCCTATCTCTTTCTCTAATCCTATCTTGTGCCACTCTTTCCTTTCCATACTTCAGCATTTTTGGTTTTTGAATATGCCAAGCTCTTTCCCCAAACTCAGGACCTTCTTATCAGCAGTTCTCCATTTGGAAAGCCCCTTGGAGCAACATCCCCTTTCCCCAACCTCTTTTCTGGCTAACTCATCTTTTATGTCTCAGCTAAAAACTCAGCTTAAGTGGCACTCCCCCAGGTAGACATCCCAGAGGCCAGCCTAGATTCAATCTTATTGGAATGTATGCCCATAAGATAAATTGGCTCCTTCAAGTAGATGGAACTTGAATCAAGCCTTGAATAATAAGGCAGCCTTCAGTAGGAAAGGGATCTAAATAATTTCCCACAGATATGCTTATATGTGTTTCTATTACAATTTTCTCTTCCCACATCTATACGCTCCTTCTTCTCACATATTCACCCTTACAAAGCCAGTACTGATCTGTGATAGGAATGACCCTTGGTACCAAAGTAGCTGCCTTCTGTAAGAAGAGATACCAGGCCACTATAAAATACCTTTCCCCTCCCACTCACCTGCATTAAGGGCCCAGACAATGTTTGAGAAAATCTGACTCTAAGAAGAGTCAGAACTTGTTATCAAGTTCCATGGATGCCTCCTTCCCTATGTCTTTAGCCTCCTTCATTTTACCATCATTGACCATACTCTACTGTTGCTCTCATCACTTCAGAACTGGAATGCTACAATAGAGACCAGATAGACTACCTTCTTCCATCCCTTTCCTCTCCACTGTATTTGCCAAATTAATTTCTCTAAAACTTTAACCACATTGATACACTCAGTCCCTGCTCAAGAGCCTTGACAGCTCTCATTGCATTTATGATAAAAACAAATTCTGTCTGCTAGTCTGGATCCTCCACAGAATGTCATCACCTTTCTTCCCTTTGCATTTGTCTCCCATTGTCCCATTACCCAACTAAACTCTATCTTTAATTCCGCCCCCATCCCCAGGCTTTTAATTTTTCTGTTTCTGTCCCTTTGCTCATACCATTGGCAAGTATTGCACATACCAAATGGCATGCCCTGCCCCTTACTCACTTTACTTATCAAATCTTGACCCAACTTTTAAAACTAAGTCCAAATCCTATATTCTCTTTCTGGAACCACCTCATCCTGTGGTGATTAATCTTGTCTCTGAAATAATATGATGCACGAGTGTCTCCATTTATGTCAACAAGCACCACACACTCCCTATATGATGGTTTGTGAAGTGTCTAAGCCTTACTCCCTCCGAGATTCTAAGTTCCAGGAGGGCAAGCTTATGTATTTTGTAAGTGTGACTAACATACTGACTGCTGAAAAAGCAACCCAATAAAAAACCAAAACCGAACGAAAGAGATCCAGAAGTGAAAAGCCCAACCGTGTGAAGCCCCCCTTAGAACAGCCAGCCGAGGGACCTGTGTCTCTATACAAACAATGTCAGCATGGCAAAAGACACAAATCCGGAAAAAATAGCTGATACCATGTTTGGTAGATTGTATTATTTTTCCATTTGTTTCTTTCCCTTCCCACTCCTTGCCCTGGTTCACTCTGGCCCAACATGGAATAGAACAGACGTGAGGTACACTCAGGTATAACCAACCTGAGACTTTGAACGTTCTGTATGATCCACTTGTCCTCATGTGTTCCTTCTCCACACTAGGAGATGGAAGACTCAAGCAGCCCCGGCTCCTCCAGCCTGAGTCCTAGAAGCAGAGACACGTGGAGCCCCCCTCCAAACCTACCACCCGGGGCAGAACTGCTGCAGCCTACCCACACACCCATGAGTAAGAGGTGTTTGTTTGTGGTCAATGTTGGAAGGCCCTGAGATTGTTTTCTCCCCCCTGCTGAAATAGTTGACCAATTCACAGATGACAGAATCAAAAGTCTAAAGTATATTAGTATATAGAATGTTGCTGTGCTGAAACCAACTAGATAAAACTTAACACAGTAAATGCAAAGACCTGTATTTGGGTTTTTTGTTTTTGTTTTTGTTTTTAAAAGGCAACGAATGACAAGGTACTCTTTGCTGCCAGTGCCCAGCTTGGGAGTACTTTTCAACACTGTATCTGGTAACTCACTAGCAATCAATCAGAAATGGCAGGTAAGATGAAACTTACTACTTGGCACCCCCCATCTGGTGTTTATTTAAAGGAGAGTCAAGGATGGTGAGGAGTCTAGAAACCACATTTTATGGTGAGTAATTAAGAGCACTGGAGTAACTCATAAATACACATGATGTTATAGTGGAAAGATTCTTAGAAGCCATCCCACATCTCCTATTTGAAGCAAATTTATTTATTTATTTATTTATTTTGGAGAAGTCATTGAGAAGACAGTATCATTCCTATTCTTCATTCATCCTTTCTTTGATTTCCACTCGGTTGTATGTATTTAATTATATATACAATAACTACAAATATACATATGAAGAATATAATGCAGCTTACAAACCAAGGCAAAAAGATAGATATTATCAGTTCTATAATTCTCATTAGAAGAAATCGGGATCTCCTAGTAGATTGTTTTTAACAACGGCCACATTATTCCTTCCTTTTATTTACTCACTTTTGCAATGTGACTCTGTAGCTCCTTTTAGCAACAGGTGGGGACTATTTTCCCACCCCTTCAATCTGGGCTGGCTTGAGACTTGCTTTGACCAACATTATGCAGCAGATGTGATGTTGTGCCGTTCTGAGCCTAGGCCTCAAGGGGCCTTGTAATACTCCCCTCCACAAACCCTGCCCTGCCTCCGAGGCAAGTCAGCCTAGCCTGCGGCAGCACAAGACAACACACAGAACACAACTGAATAGTGCCGCTCTCAGGGCTTAGGCCTCAGACCTGTGAGACAGCAAGATCAGAGACCTGACCCAGATGAGCAGAACTGCTCAGTCTACCATAGACTCACAGGCAATGATAAATGCTTGTTGTTTTATCCCCACTGAATTTTGAGGAGAGTTTGGTTTGTTGTGTGGCAACAGATCACTGATGCAGACCTTATGGAGGAAAGCAAAGCATCCAGCTACTGAATTGTAAAATGGAATTTCTCGCGTGGTGCAATACCATTGCCCTGCCCCCACCACGAATATTTTCGTTGGGGTCTCTCAGTCCCCCGCAGTACACTCTGCTGTGTTCTTAGGCACACACCCGGGAAAAACTTACTCCCTCTGTGTTCTGTCTTGATGGCCTTGGTCTGTTTCAAAATGGCAGCTACAAATTTTTCCAATATTGTAGCAATGTTGGTAACTTATATCCAATAGTAGGAATTACACCTAATCACTGTAAGCCATGTTTGCTAATCTGTTAATACAACGGGGTTAAAATTAAGGATTTCTAAAATTCTCCGTAGTTCTCTGGATTTTTTATATTCATATGCCTAGAATATGAACGTTATGCTTTCGAAGACTAGTTATTGGAAAATATCCACGTATGAAATTAAATTAAAATGCAGGAAAGAAAACATTATCCTATTACTGTAAGAATATATAGAAATGTAAATACATGGAACACTCAGAAAGGGAAAGAGGGAGGGACGGAGGGAAAATACTTGAAAATGTTAGTTTCTGGGTGGTGGGTTGCTATATAATTTTCTTTTTCTTTTTTTTTCCCACAAATGTCTATACTGAGCACACTTCAATTCAGAGTCCAAATACCCTTGCGAAGACCTGTTGAAGTCCCGTGCTTTCTGCACAGCAGCCCCTGCCTGCCCAGGATGCGGAACGCTGGGCGGCGCAGGTCGTCGGCTGCTTTGAAACGGTTCCAAAGCAGCCCCGCCGGCGTGCGGCGGGAGGGACGCGAATGCTCGGAAGAGCCGTCCCACGTGCTTTCGGGGAAACGGCCCTGGAGCGAGAAGGAGCAGAATTGGGAGGAAACCGAAAAGCGAAAGTAAGTTGCCTTGGGGAGCAGTACGCAGGCGCGGGCCCGGGGATTTTTCCCCACTGACTGGCCGCCAGCTCAGCGGCCCCCGCCCCCCAAGCCTCCCGGCGATGGGGTTGGGGGGGTTGGAGCCGGGAGGCAGGATGCGCACGCTAGCCGGGGACGGTGGACGCCTGCTCTGCGTCCTTCTAGCTGGCTAAGTCTGAGAGTAGTGGCCCAGGACAAGATGAAAGGCGCGGAGGCGGGTGCCCATTAACTTTGGAAGGAGGGAGGGGAATGTTTTCTAACTCCTTAAGGTGCTGGAAACCTTAACCATCCCACTCCCACCTTTTCGTCCTTCTCTTGGCCTGGAGGTCACCCTTTTCCCTCCCTCTTCTCCATCTCTACAGTCTGTACGCCTGCTAACTCAGATCCTTCTGTCTTTCAAGCTCTGACCCTCCCCCAGCTGGTGTGAAGGTGAAGGTGGAGGGCTGGCTGGTTCTTTTCAGGAATCCTTTTGCTGTATCTGCAAAAAGGTCTCTTCTTTTCCTCCTGGGATCTTCTTGCCCCCTGCTTTCTCCCCTAGGGCGATTATACCAGAGGGAGTTGGGGAGGAGAATAATGGAGGAGAATAGTTTTGTCACTGCACCATGATTTCAGAGGTTGACAGGCCCAGGAGAAATAGTTTGGGTCCTGGCTGCTATCTGTGACTTACTGAGGCACAGACTGAGTTTCTTGGGGTCAGCTCCATCACTAGCGAAGGATACTAGCTACTTAGGGTGACATAGTTACCAACCTAGGACTTACAGTGTGTGAAGGGATCCATCTTACTATAACCACAGCCTCCAGTCTCATGTGAGAGTGAGCGCCCATCCCCATGCCTGCTACAAACACCCCAGCAAGTGCTCTTTACGTAATCTCCACAATGCAAATGGATGTTTATTTTCCCCTGTTTGAAGGACAGGACAGGCTATATAACTTGCAGGGCCCAGTGCTAAATGAAAATATGGAGTCCCTTATTCAAAACTTATAAGAATTTCAAGAAGGCAATAGTAGAGCGTTAAACCAAGCATGGAGTCCTTGTGAGTGCTGGCCCTGGGCAACTGCTCAGGTTGCACACTAATGAAGTTAGTGTGAAATTGAAGGAAAGGAGAGTTCTCCCATAGAAACCTTGTTACATATTTACTTAAAACAAATGAAAACTTAGATAATGAAGGAACAAAAATAATGACACCACTCTTTCCTATAGCACTTGCAATAAAATCCAGAGCCTTCAGCTTTCCCTATAGAGTCCTACATGATCTGGTCTTGCCCCTCTCTCCTACCCATGTTGTCTCAGTCCCTCCATGCCTCACCATGTTCCCCTCCCTGTGGCCTCCTTCTGTTCCTCAAGGACTCAAGATTCTGTCGGCCGGGTCTCATGTATGTACTGTTCTTTTAGTATGCTGTGTTCCTGGCTGTGTCCATGGACTTACTCCTTCTCATTCTTTAGGTCTCAGATCAAATATCTCTCCAGAGAGACCTTCACTGACCACTTCTTCCCGCTACTCTATATAGTCTTCATAGTACTTATTAAAGTTGTCATTTATTATTTGTCTGTTTTCATCTCTCCTCACAACAGGAGGGACTTTGTGCTGTGACATGAAAGAATTAGGCTAGTGCCCTGAGGCATCTGTATGAATTACTGTCTCTCTTATATACCTAGAATGGCACTAGATACCATCCTTGGGACAACTAAGAAAATAGTCAAGCAAATCACTGTGTCTTATGGTTCAGATGGGAAACCCGAGTTGAGAAAGGCTGTCCCTGATACACAATCTCAATATTTTTTTAATGAGCACATCACACCATTGACCAATGCTGGAATCAGGAATCACAGGTGAATTCAACCATTCAGACCTCAACACTGGCTCTAGACCTATTGAGCTAGAATTGAGGGGAGGAGAATAAAGAGCATGTGTATTCTGAAAAATTCCCCAAAAGATTTGAATGAGAGCACCCTCCTCCACACCCTTTCCAACTTCTCCCCCATCTCCACCCTGTCTAGACAGCTTCCAGGCTTCTTCCCATTAGCAGCGTTCTGTGAAGCATCTAAGTGAATGACTTTCAAGCCTCATGTAAGAGAGTGTTGTGTAGGGCTTTTACCCGGGGTAGGAGTATAAAGGCGGTGAGTTTAATAAAGGCAAAGGGAAATTTCAAGAGCACTTGGTTTATCTGTGCACGGGCAGATGTCTGGGATGTTGGGCACATAGAAGATATCTAAATAAAAGAGAAGTTAGAATGAGCTAACAATCAGACAATCTAATCCAGAGCATTTCTACAGAGTCTGGAAATTATGAGTAGGATGAAGTAGAGGGAAGCAATAACGGGCATGTTTGGGTTAATCAATTTGCATGTAATATTAGTGACTATTCCATAATTTTAGAATTTGGAGGATTGTAAAGAGAATTCTAGCTTAGTCTTGCAGGCAGAAAGGAACTAATTACTGTCTTCTATGTACTCAAATATTAAATTACTAAGGGGCAGACTGCTAGATTTTAGGGCTAGAACTGTGAACAAAGTCTTCTTGGTCCCTGTACGTACAGAGCTCTCTTAGAGTCTAATGAAGAAGACAGCTGATATACCTTTACAACAAAGGTGGTAGGAATGGTGCTGGGGCATCTAGAGCATCTGGAGGAGGCGTGAAGTGACCTGAGTCATACAGGTGTGCACGGGGTGGGGGGGGTGGCAGAAGGTTTTCTAGAACCTGAAGGATGTGTAAACGTTATCCAGGTGGCAGGGTGGATAGGATGGGGTTGGAGAACTGAGAGGATGCAGTGGAGGGAAGGGGGAGGGAACCCGGGCCATCAAAGAAACTGAAAGTAGTTCAGTCTTGTGTGTGTATGTTTTGCAGGGTGAAAAGCCATTGTTGGGGGAGATGATGAGATAGGAGTTGAGGACTAGGAAGGGACTAAATAATGTATGACTTCAGAAAGATCTGTTGAGAATTATGGTCATCATCCAGTTCTGGGATTCTTAAATTTTGTGCCATGGGCCCCTTTGTCAATCTGATGAAACCTATTAACTCCAAAGAGTAATGCTTTTAGTTGAATAAAATAAAATACATGAGATTAAATAGAAAACCAACTACACTGAAATGCAGATATCAAAATATTGAAAGCAACTTTGTGACATAGTGATGTAAGTGCTTCTTTGTTATTGGCATTAAATAAGATCTAGCAGCAAGTCTGACGAATGCGATTTCAAAATTGTGCTTAGCATAAGCAATAGTTTGAGGTAATTGTAACAACTGTAATGTGACAAAAATGTGTGGGTCATGGTTTGTTGCCTTTATTCCTAATTGAAAGAAATTCTAAGTTTCAATTACAAGTCTGTGAAAATAGACTGATGTTTGCCATCCAAACTCACGAACCTCCAGATTTCTATCCATACATGCCAGGTAAGAACTGCTAATCCAGAGCACCAGAAGCCATATGAAAATTATAAGCAGGGGGTAAAATGATGTGATTTATTTAAAATAGAGCCCTCTGTGTATGTAAGAAGCCGCATAGAATTGTTTGTTGTATTTACTCTAGATATGCCGCAGAGCATGTCCTTCATCATGTTTTTATAGTGTCCTCTTTGAGGACTCTGGTGGAAATGTTCTATGTCTTAGAGTGGTGGTTACACAACTGTATGGGTTTGTCAGAAAAGGGTGAATTTTATTATGTGTATATTATACTTCCTCTAGCCAGACTTTTAAAAATGTAAGCAGTCAGGGGCGCCTGGGTGGTTCAGTCAGTTAAGCGGCCGACTTTTGGTTTCAGTTCAGGTCATGATCTCCCGGGTCCTGGGATAGAGCCATACTCAGTGGGAGTCTGCTTGACGCTTCTCTCCCTCTGCCCCTCTTCCATTCATGCACACACTCTCTCTCTCTCTCTCAAATAAATAAATCTTTAAAAAAATGCAAGCCATCAAATCAATTAACGCTCATGGTCAATTTGAAAAAAGAAAATTATTTGTCAGAATTTGGAGTGTGTGCACAGGCACTTTACTAAGTCTGGACTACAGTTATCTACTAGAGTATAGCAGTAATTGGTTTGACCTCTAATTCTGTTCCTTCTTCTGCAGGGAGCTCTTGGGCCTCCTGAACATGTGAGGTACAGAAAAATCCCTTGGATTTGCCAGAAGCATACTCATTCCTTATGGGTTTGGGGGGCCTTCCTTGCTGCCTTAAGATTTGAGGAAGTCCACTGGAAGCTGCCTTCTTTCAACATTTATTCCAGATAAAGGCACTGATACTCAGTACAGTTGGGTCAAAGTGAGTCGTTGTGAAAAAGAATTTGACAAGGGATTAGTAAAATGGACATCTGTGATTGGTCTGGGATGGGTGGGGGAGGAGTGAAAATGTGATTAATATTTTAAAAATAAATCTACATTTTATTTCATTAAATGCTACTTATTTGCTGCCAGTTGTAAGAAAAAAAAATATTCCGGGGGAGGATTCGGTAGAAATTTGGTGATCTAAATGCCCTTCCCATTCACTGTACTTCATCTCATGTGGCACACCTTAGCCTCAACTAAACAGGTATCTCCAGGAATCCTCTGACAAAATCCCATTACTCTTACAAAGATGATTTCTAGAATGCAAGACTCACACTCTTGGGAAGTAACTCTATACTGTAATCAAGAACTTGGTTTTGATTTTCTGAATCTAAGTGCAAATAGCCACTTGCTGAACTCTTCTTCTTACTATATGGCCTCTGTGTCTGTTAGAGAGAGCAAACTACATATGTCCTTGTATCGTCTGCCCTCAAATAACGATAATGGTTGAGATCACATATGAAACCTCGGCATTCTGCTACCAGGCTCCATATTGAGATGTTTTTAAACATTTTGCTGAGTAAGAGTGCATCATACTTTTAATACATTCCAGGGAGTGAAAAGCTTCTGCAACCTTCTTTGGCTTCTAAATCCAATTGTTTATTTCCTGATAGTAGATTACCTCTTTAAAGATAAAACAATAATAATAATTTTATAATTCAAAATATCAATCAAGATATAACTTTAAACCAGGTTTATGATTATTTCCTCTACTTTTGTTGCCAATTGATATATTTGAATTGCAGAAAATTGGGCATGTGGAGGAGAGACTGGGAGACTGCCCCTCAAGTTAGCCTGGTGGTCCTCCATCCAACAGACACGGGAAGGGGTGCCTGGGTGACTCCGTCGGTGAAGTGCTTGCCTTCGGCTCAGGTCATGATCTCAGGGTCCTGACATTGAGCCCCACGTCGGGCTCTCTGCTCAGTGGGGGGTCTGCTTCTCCCTCTCCGTCTTGCTCTCTCTCTCAAATAAATAAAATCTGAAAAAAAGAGTACTATCAGGAATAAGTGAACTGGCCTTGGTATAAGTACAGAGTTGGAAGAACAATATAGGATCCAGTTGGGCACATGTGAATGGGTATAAAGGATGCGATTGGTAAGATGGAATCTCTCTGAGAAAGAAGGTTATATTAAAACCTTTTTCTCTTTGAAATCTTTTCCATTAAACATTAACTTCTCTCTGTATGGCTTGCCTCAGGGACAGAAGAGGGGTGGAAGAAGTTAGAGAGGGGTCCTCCAGAGGGATCTATCTGGTATCTAGGGTGATGGCTTTTACCTTCTAGAACTCAGGACATAAGCTTATTTGGCTTTTCTCTAAGGTCTTCTTGCTGGCCTTTGAGTGATGTAGGTGTGACTATGTCATTCGTAACCTATTCTGAAATCTTAACACTTAATCCTTCTAGAGCCCAAATCATAAGTAACATGTGAGAAACAAAATAAAAAATGAAACAAAGACAAAAGGGTCTTTTGTTAATGTTATATTAACACTGGTTTCTTAAAGTGTCTTATCTTGTAAGTTTATCTGAAGCTTTGGTTTTTAACATTTCAGTCAGGACATTCCCAATTGGTGGTGTCAGGCGAGTGAGAGGAGAGCTTCAGACTTCAACCATTTCCTGGAAACTGGTATATACAAAGCTGAAGAAATAAGATAGGATTGTTGGCAAAGATCAGTCTTTAAGCTTTTTCATTTGCTTCCTTCTTTTGAGTGTCAAGAATTTATCTTGTCATTCAGCAGAATATGGAGACTTCATCTAAAATTGGAAAATGAAAATGACTTTTGAGGAAACTATTGGTTTTTGCAAATAAGTCATCATTTTTAAGGTAAACACCCTTTTGTCTACTAAATACTTCACAATCTTTCTACCAATTAACTAGTAAGCATTCACAAAATTCATCCCATAAAAATGTAATGAGGAAATGAGTGCAAAATGTAGCAAAAGTTCTCTTATAACTAAATGATTTAAGACAACTAACATTGGAACAAGACTGTGGGTTTTCCCATCCCTGGAAATCTTTAAGAGGACTAAAACTCACTTGGTTTATAACCCGCGTAGAGGAGCAAAATTTGCCACCCTAAAATGTGTCTTTTTAGCATGTGGATTATTTTAGGCTGAGTATTTTTAAGAAACAAAAAGCTCAGGAAGAAACTTTCACCTTCCCCTTAACTGTCTAAAAGAATTTAGAGAAACTGGCTCCAGGAAGGGAGTTATCACCATAGATAACTATAGTATAATATGAATTAGGTGTGGTAGACAGGGAGGAACTTAACAAAATTTTTGTTAAAATTCTTCTCTGTGCCCCATTGTTTCTGTATGCCCTAGCAAACATTTGCTTATGAAATATTTACTCTTTTCATCTTCCTGTGAATCGTCTTCAATCCCTTTGAAGTCCCAGATCCCAGCCCCTTCTCCTTAGCTCAGAATGGCATATAAGCCTCAATTGCTTGTCTGTGGGCCTCATATTCTTATGGCCCCCCTGTTAGTACTTTATTAGTAATTATTTGATTTTCTTTTATTAATCCATCTCATGTCAATTTAATTCTTTGATAGCCAAAGGAACCTAAGGGTAAAGTAAAAATTTTCGTCCCCAACACCCAACATCAAATTTCTTGGGGCTCAGGGTCCCTCCAAGATTCTGTTATTCTCATATGTTCATCTGAATGTAAACTGGATAACTTGATGGTATTGAGGAATAATAATAGATAGGATGCATCCTAAATCACATTATTGCATTTAAGATTGTGATTAAGTTCTCAGAGAAGTATTATTATGCTGCTACTGACTATAATTCATGTACTACTTGAAGAAGCTCCTGGGACAGGACTAATAATGCAAGTAAAAATTAAGAAAAATTGGAATTTGTGGTTCTTGAACTAAAATAAATATTGAACTAGGTTTATAAATAGTGACTAATATATGTTGTCTACTAAGGTGGGAGAGTGGTGGGGAGTGGTGCGGCCAATGGCAGAAGTAGGGACAAAGTGTACATGAGTGAGGAAGAGGAATACTTTGCCCTTTGATGGCTTTTGATGGAAAGAACTTAAAGCAGTTCAAATGAGTGAAGGTGTCTGTTTTCAGTGCCCCTATCAGTGACCCACAGGAACATACAGACACACCCAGTGTGATGCTCATGGATTTGGTCCAACAAAAGTGTTTTCTCACTTCTCAGGCAGAACTTCAGCCCCTTTGATTAACAGGTGCCACATTTGCTTCATTAGGAGTGCCCTTGACCAGCAATGGAAAAGAAAGGGAACATACTGCAGTTTCAATTGTTGTGGGACTCAGGTTTTCTCTCAGCACCGCATATACGCTTGGAGACATGGGAAGAAGATCTGATGGAGATTGTGGCTCAGTTGAATCACTTCGGCTTAAAGAGATAACAAGGTGCATGTTGAAAAGGATTAAAAATAATAGCTTCTGGTGACACTGTCAGGAACTCATTTCTAGGGCTTCCTCTATTTGTTTCACTGAGATGCCTAATTCATTGTTTGAAATCAGAGCATTCAGCGTACTCTGGAACATACAGCATATAAAAAGGCAACTTTATAATTCCAGTCATGGTAGACTATGGTGCTTCCTGAAGACTAGCTTTGGGTATTAAAGCAAATGGGACATTGAGCATTAAAATGCTTTATTGTCAGGTATATGTACTTGGCTCTATCCGAGTAGAAATGCTTTTTTTAAAAAAAAGATAAATTCAGTAAGAGATATTTTACATGTGGCTAAGGTTACTTACATTGTTGAAATGGGTATAAAAACAGATGGAACATAACCTTTGTCCCCCCTTTCTGTTGGTCTTGAAACTGGAAAAGAAAGGCAGGAAAAAATGTTATCAATATTATTGATAAATTTTTTTAAAGTCTAGACAAATATAAGTAATGTTAAAAAGAAGAGTGGTATTGGGCGCCTGGGTGGCTCAGTCGATTGGGCGTCTGCCTTTGGCTCGGGTCATGATCCTGGAGTCCTGGGATCGAGTCCCGCATCGGGCTCCCTGCTCGGTGGGGAGCCTGCTTCTCCCTCTGACCCTCCCCCCCTCATGCTCTCTCTGTCTCTCATTCTGTCTCTATCTCTCAAATAAGTAAAAATCTTAAAAAAAAAAAAAAAAAGAAGAGCAGTATTATGATTGTTTAGTGACTCACAAAGATTTTTAGTTGAATAGATGGAACAGTATTTTAGGTGAACATAAAATGTGCAAGAAGAGCAAAACAGATCTCTTGGCAGGCCTAATCTGACTTTACATATTATTGTCTCCAAAATGCATGAGAAAAAGTGGGAGGCAACTATATTACCTGTCTTCAAAGTTATGTTCAAGTTTGATTATATTTGATTGATTTGTGTATTGCGGGATTTCTAGTAACTCAGCAGGGTAGCAGCAACTCAGCATCTGTGGGTGACAATTGTAGGCTATTCCAAAAGATGGTGCTCATAGATTTAGTTGCTATAGATGAACATTTTAATGGATTGTATACACTTTCATCAGAGACACAGAATGGTTAACTTAGATTACAATTGTAGAGCTAATTTTATTTATATTCTTTCGTGTATTTAACAAATATTTACCAAATGCTTCTTTTGGCCAGGTGTGATTTTAGCCCCTTAGGATACAACCAGGAAAGGCAGGCATGTCAAGACTAGTTATTGGAAGGCCAGCAGGTGGGGAATGAAGCACTGACCCCTTAGCCCCTCCCTGGCAAGTAAACTACCCAAGCTGAGTTGTGAGACTACAGTAAGGTAAAAAATATAAAGCTTATAAACCTCAGGCTTCTTTTGCAGAAAACAGACTCCCCTAACCCTTAACAGCTTTCTAATCATTACCTCCTCTTTCTTTTCCTCTCTCCCAGTCATAGACGTGAAGTCAGCACCACTTCTGTTTTAGGAAGGAGAAAGCCAAAGCTCTCCAGGCGGCTGGGAGAAGGCACATGGCCGTGTGAAGTCTGGTCACAGCTACCGATTACTAACTACTCTGCTGAAGTTGGACAGCCCAGCTGTTCCTCTTCAGGAACTGTTGACGCACTACTTCCTTTCTAAGGCTTTGACCTTCACATACCCCCTACGTCTTATGACAAAGTAAACATAAAAAGAGGAACTTCGTTTACTCCAATATGAGGTTATTTGCCAAAAGCTGAGGAAAACAAGCAAACAGAAAGGACCTAACCTTCGCAGGGCTGGGAGCTGTAGTGTTTACCGAAGGCTTTGTCTTTGGGAATGTCAGGATAAAGGTACTTCAGAGGGTTTTCGGGAATGTTTTCAGCCATAATAACCTTATAGTCTCGAAGGATGTCAGCGAACGGCAGAGCAGACAACCGACCTTTATTGTAGGGTTCTACAGAGTGGAATCTCACTTCTCCTGGAAAAACAGAAAGGGTGGGTGGAGGGAGGTACATTCAGGTTCCTGCAGGCATTCTTGGGGGCCATTCTTCCTGCCCATGTCATCTTCATGTCACTGGCTATCAAGCAATGCCAGCCCTTTTCTGCAGAGTGGACGGCACAGAGTGCCATGTGACAGAGGACACCCACACAGGCTGTGAGAAAGTCATGAGCCTCTCTTCTGGGACAACTGTAACAACTATATTCAAACCCCCTGGACACATGAAAAACAGAACACCATGCTACACACGTCTGAAAACTGAAAGACCAATAACCAAACTCAGTACTACTTTCACAAGTATAAATCATGTACCATTTTCAGAATGGTCTACCCAGGTGAAAGTTATTCCTCCAAGGTGGCTTTCACTGAATCTTAACAAAAAGGTTCCAGGCATTTTATCCTTTAGCAAGAGGCGCTCCTTCTCTTTGCTAACAAAGCCCATGACATACCTAAAAATAGAACAATGCATAGTTTTACCTGATCAAACACTGTAATTTATTACATTTGTATTTATTTCATTCACAAAGAACAGACCTAAATTTGTTCTGAGTATAATAAAAAGTCAATGAAATACTCCTCTAAGATTAAAGTAAATATCAGTACTCTATGAAGAATGTAAGAAACTGAACTATTCCCCATCCCTCTATCACTAAACATGCTTGAAAGGAAAAAAACCAACAGCTTAAAAATAAGAACCTAATGAACTCATATGAAAAATATAGCCTGTAACTCACCCATCTATCCAAAGAGGAAGAATGTGTTTCTTAATTAGATCCAATATTGCTTCAAGCCAAGTCCAAAAGGTAAATGATTTACCAGGTAAGTGTTCCTATTGTAATAAACAAACATGTCAGGACAATGATTATTTTAATAGTTAATGTTGATACAATAATTCAAGTTCCATTTTTCAATGAAATACTCCCTTAAACTTTTTTTAAAAAATTATTTATTTTAGAGAGAGAGAAAGCAAGCAAGGGGGAGGGGCAAAGGGAGAGAGAAAATCCTGAAGCAGACTCCCCACTGAGCAGGGAGCCTGATACATGTGATGCAGGGCTCTATCCCAGGACCCTGAGATCATGACCTGAGCAGAAACCAAGAGTTGGCTGCCCAACTGACTGAGCCACCAGGGCGCCCCAAAATATTTCCTTTAAACAAGACAATAGTTTAGAGTTTAAAAAAAAAATAACTGCATCCAGGAAATCCTCAAAATCCCAGATTATGATATGGAGGCTTAAAAAGAAGCACTACTTAAAAATTATCTAAATGATATTCTTGCTCCCCTATTTGTACCTTGCAGAACTTGGCCCAGGTGAGATGACCATCACTGTAGCTAGACTGGACTAAAAGAAAAGAAAAGAATGAGATTTTTATGAAACAATTAGACTTTTCAATTTGGTGCTCAATTTAGATTTTACCCAGCCCCTTTCAAAAATTCCTTAAGCACCTGTTATAGGTTTGTAGTGTACTTAATGCTAGAAACAATAAAAATGTAAGATGTCATGAAATCTATTTTCTAAGAAAAAGTTCTTTTCAATGGAACTAAGATAACTTTAGAAAGAGGGTGAGTGTCTAGGGCCAGGCCCCCATGGATAGATAGGATATAAATTATCAGAGGAGAAGGAGGAGGAAACTAAACTCTAGTAAGAATAATGTAAGATGAAGCATAGTGGACATGAACCCGGCTTATATAGGAGACAGCAAGAGCTGTCTAATGTTGGTAAATAAACGTAAAATAAATTTAAGTTAGATATGGCCAGATTACGAGGAGTCCTAATTAATATTATGAAAAGAATGAACTCGAGATCTATTAGGCAATAAGGAGGCACTGACTACTTTGACCCAGGGTGATGAAAGGGTACAAGAGTTTCTATCTAAATTTGTTTTTTTAAAGATTTTATTTATTTATTTGACAGAGAGAGACACAGCGAGAGAGGGAACACAAGCAGGGGGAGTGGGAGAGGGAGAAGCAGGCTCCCCGCAGAGCAGGGAGCCCGATGTGGGACTCGATCCCAGGACCGTGGGATCATGACCTGAGCTAAAGGCAGTCGCTTAACCAACTGAGCCACCCAGGCGCCCTCTATCTAAATTTTTGAGGAAATTATACTCATAAGGATAATCTGATAAAGATCTGAAAGGATATGGCTGCTATCTATACTACACATTTAAAAACTTTATTCACTCAACAAATATGCCTACCATTGCAGTTTATAAACTAAATAAGTTAAAAAACCATATTTACATTAACTAAATGTTTTAATATTCCCCAAATATCTGATTTATTTAAATACCTATTGATCAGATAGTAGGTCCAAGTGGCAACCCAGCATCACTTGCCAAATCACACATGATTTCACTACTGATGCTCAGATGCATCCGTGGCCCTACTTTAATTAGAACTGTACACAAACTCCATCTTAACTCTTTTTTGGTGCTAAGCATGTTCACCCTAGACTTGTCAAAATATAGATATCTTTTGAAATTCTTTTAGAAAAATCTTACACTATAGTCACTACAGGAAGTACCAATGAGTCTGTTTTGCAAACTTTAAAAATATTAGTCAAAACTGAAATTTTCTTGATATGGACAATCAAGTATTGCCTGGGTGGCTTTTAATTTCTATTAAATTTCCTGGTCCTGGAATCAGCTACTGTTGAGTTGGTTAATGACCATTGTGATATTAATATGAAAGTCAAAGCACCATTAAGGCTTCGCATTGCACTCAGTGGAAATGGCATAAAACACCCTGGAGACTGAAGAGCGGAATGGAAAGAAGGGGCTTTGGAACTGGACAGGCGTGGCTGGTGTCTTGGCTCTGCTGTGTACTAGCCATGCAGCCATGGCAAGTCACTTAACCTCTGAACTTAAGTATCCTCATCTATAAAGTGGATAGAGTAAGGAGTTATCCTTTCCTAAGAAAGATAACAGAACATTTAGCTCTGTGCCTGGCAATACAGTGGGTACTCAATAAATTGTGACTATCATTATTATTATTAATAGTAGTAATATCACCTGGTTCTTTAAAACGCTTGAGTACCCCAAACAGAGGCAAGTCTTCCACATCTACCCGCTCTCACCTGTAAGCTTCTCTGCTAACATATTGAGTTGATCTGAGTTAAGGCCACGGCCGACATAGGATGAAAACTGCCAGCTCATCACTTCCAGGAGTTGACTCAAAGTGGCAGATGGAGGATTATTAAAGAAAACTAAGTTCTGAAATAGAGTTGTAATGATGATATTCATTAATCACATTGAACACACTATAATTCAGTATATAAAATTCCAAACTCTTTAGGCCAATCTAAGTTAATACAGAATATTGTCTCATCTCTGTTGTGCATTTTAATTGACACTGGTTTTGTCTTTTCCTAAAGAGTTCCTTAATCCTTGAGTCTAATAGAATATATGGCTCCATCTTATCCTTGAAAGAATCATTGGGCACCTCTTAACTTTCCCTGGACTATGGGCTATCAATCAACTCATACAAGTACTTAATACTGTCCAACAAATCATTGGGCAAATATTCTTTTCTGAAATAATATTAATCTTAAGCAAATCTATATCAAGTTATTTAATTAGTTTATCATGACTTGGTATAAGTTATACCTTGACCAAACAAAGAATCCCAAAGCACAAAAACAGATAAGTCTCAGGCTAAAGTAGGTGACCCTATAATGTGAATTCATAATTACCCTGAGTCCTGTTTTATGAACAGTAAAGTAGTCTTTTTCTTTTGATCTGGACAAGAGAATCTTCTGTATGACTAACTGCAAACAAGATTGCTTGTACCAGAAACTGGGTCAACAATAGTGAAAAAGTAGACTTCATCTCAGATTACTGGAAAGCAGAAGGTGTGAAAGCCAAGAAAGACGTCCTAAAGAGAGAAATAACTGAGTAATGTAGTGCAGTACAGGGAGAAGCATGAACTACGCTGGGCAGCAAGAAAAGGAACCAATCCAAGAAACTTCAGAAGGTGGGAATAAAAGAGGATACAGCATCCAACAAGGAGTGGGAGATAGGAGGGGGAGGAATGGAGAGAAAGAATTTCTAGAGAGGCAGTTTCCCCTGAACCAGAGAACTGTGTCTGGATAAATGACCAAAGGGCATAGAACCTAATCGAGGTCTGGGGGCTTGGGTTTTGAAGCAGAAGAGAGTGAAGAAGAGAAACCAGAGTTTGTTGTTATGCTGGACTCTGTAAGTAGGCTGTGCATCTGCATTGTAAGCTATGTATGATCTGCATTCCCACATTCCTCATCCAGGAGCAGAGCAGAGTCTGGGATGGTTAGTGGGACAGCTTTGGTGGCTTTCTTATAGAAGAAGGATGCTGAAGAAAGCTAAGTGCCACAGTGCTGTACTCAGAGGACAGAGAAGTGACCCATCTTTCTTCCTCCATCCTGAAGTTGAACGAAAAGCTCTGAATATTTGTAGCTCTTAATGGGGCATGACATGTAATTCCAGGAGGGTAGGCTCTTCTTGGCTTTAAAGACCAGATAAATTCTCTAGTGGGTCCTGCTCTCAGTGCAGCCTGAGAGGAAGCGACACTCCACGCACCCTCTGCAGCCTCCTCTCTAGAGTTAATCTGTTTCAGATGCCAGGGCACCGGAGGATGAGAAGGCATCAGGCTGAGTCATTTACCATATTGTTTCCTTATTGGGCACATTTTTTAAAAAGGGAAAGAACACTTGGAGCTAACTCATCATGTCTGTTCTTATTGCTAGAACCTAAGGTAAAAAAAAAAAAAATTCTTAAGAGTGAATATTTGCTTTGAATTAAGAAGAAATGTTATTTATATTTGACCTATTTTTTCTAGACCTCGGTGGTTTCCAGGACAACACAATGAGATTTTGTAAGAGGGAACAAGGCGAAGGGCTGACTCATCTTTTTTGCCACTCCCTTCCGTGGTTGTCTTTTAAGAAGAGCATCTGTTTGCTGCTAGCTTTGTAACTTGAGGCCAATTTTTGATCAATGTTTCAAATAACCACCAGATGGCATTAAAACCCAACTTGAGCCTAGAATGGATTAAATCTATAATCAACTGGAAAATTTGTAGTCAGAGGGCAGTTAGGCAAGATTGGTTGATATTCTAGGTCACTTATTTGGAAACGAATTTTCTACCTTTGTAGAAAAGTCTGTGTGGAGGTGTGACCAGAAGTAGTTGCGGAGGTAAACACAGCAGTTAGACGTTAAATTCTAGACCAAGAAGTTTCCCCACAGCCCAATTAACAGAGCCACAGGATGGGCCTAGAACTCTCTGTGATCCACATAGTTGGGAGCTGATCAGACCCTCAGAAGTAACAAATACCTGTCCGTCAGTTTTGCTAGCCAGAACTCTCCCAGCGTCCAAGTACATCAAAACATATCATTTTAAATATAACATGAGAGAGGGTTCATGCAACTAAATATATTGGAGTTCTGGAAGAAAACAACCCACAAAGACATGCCAAATTTCATATACATAGATATATGAATATATAGTCAAAATTCATACATATATCTTTTGATGCAGATGGGTGTTTTGACAATAAAACAAATCAAATAGAATTAAAGGAGGAGAAATAGGAATAGAGACCCTACCTGGGAATCATTGGTTGACACATTGTACCAAATGATGGATGCCCAAGCATTAGGTAACTGACTGACATTGGAAATCATCACCACAGGTAATGAGCTGGTCTGGTTTAAAAGAGAAAAAAAAGCACAGTTATTACAGGTAGTTGCACCTTGCACTGATTTGATACTTGATCCTGTCCCCTACAGGGCTATCTCAAGCCAGCTCTACTGCTTTAATCCTGGTGTTGACACTGCCCTGGTTACTAAAATGACTTGTGAAGGAAAGGGAACTTTCTGAGCATCTATGAATCAAGGAATAAGGATGAAAGAAGCCATAAAAACAGGAACCCTTTCAGAGTGCTTGGTCAGTTAGTTTCTCCAGTATCTTCCCTTGACATTATACAAATATTGATACTTACATCATATATAGCCCAAAATGCAACAAATTAGAGCTTGCATTGATTTTGCCACTGTTCTCTTACTAAGTTACTATAAAAAATTTAATTTTAAATTTATCTTGAAATGGACCAATATATTCAATTTATGATCTGACATCTAATTAATGTCAGTACTAGACATGGGCATTTTCACTGCAGAAGATGGAGAGGTAAGCAATGTTGGAGTACAAAGCTTTATGAGAAACAGCTGCCTGGTCTGCTGTGGAACTCAGCTTAGCAATATTTGTACTGTCATTTTCAACCTCATGGAATAAACAGGCTTTCACAGACTAGTGTGCAAAACCAATCAACTTACATTAGTCCCTTCTCAATAACAGTGGTTAGATTTCTACAGACAGTGAAATACCCAGCTTAATAGCTCATGGAAACAGAGGTATAGGAAAAAGAGACGAGGAAGGCATTTATGGAAAATTTTTACATATTTACACTTATTAAGATAAAAAAGGAAAAGCAGAACTCTAAAACAATACATCCCACAAATAAGATCATATTCGGGGTGTGTAAAACTGTGTTTGTTCCTTCATGCACCCATTCATTCATTTATTTAACCTATGTTGAGCATCTATTATGGGCCAGGCACTGAGTCACTGGTAATGGAGTGACAAAGTCATGATGCCCTGCCTTCAAGGGGCTCATAGTCAGTCATGTTCAATTTAATCCTCAAGATTGCTCTATTCCTTCTTTGAGTACAATAGTGACTGTTATAAGAGAATCAAAACAATGTATCATTAATGTTCCTATCATTTGTCTTTACTCATTACATTAGAAAAGCTTTCCTTCTGAGGGATTTTATGTACAAGTTAAATTTTTGAAAATATATCATTATGTGACATGGTTTAAGGATACTTATTTCTCTTTAGGCTTTCCACTAACTATTCATGACTCAGAAGTCTCAGAAAATGAACCAACAAACATGCAATCTGGGCAAGCAATTATTCAATAGATATCCAATTGATAATGCCCATGAGATCTTTTTTTTTTTTTGCCCATGAGATCTTATCATTTATATTTAACCAGAATAGTATACATTCTAATAATAGAATGTTGACTAATTAGTAACTATCTGACATATTGGTTTTCTAAACTAAATTTTCTAAACAAAACTCTAAACAAAAATAAAAAATAGGGAATGTACTAAAACCTAGAAAAGACTCGGCTTTCATCTATAAATGCCAGCCAATGACTGAGTATATTATTAGTAAATAGTTGATTGACGCCTACCTCCACATCTATGGTCAGGCCATAGAGGCAGATCTGTGTTTCAAAGGTTATAGAATGAAGCTCTTCAGTTACCATGTGACAGCCCTAGGAAGAAAGAAATCAATTGTTATCTTACAAATGCACTCCTACTACCTATTAGGCCTGCTTCTATAAAAATTAATAAAGTCTTAAAGTAAATGCCCCAAACATTCCCTATTATGGAACTTTCCCTCTTATTATTTAAAAAAAGTTATTTAGCATATATACAGAGTGAGAAATCTTATTTCCACAAACAGAATGATTTTAAGTCTCCCTAACAATGTAGTTTTTGACTTTTTTAAAATTCCAGCATATTTTCATCAGTTTAAATGCAGACAAATAATTCTTTATTTTTAATTTTAAAAAAATTAGTCCTTCTGGCTTACAAACTATTAATAAAAGCAATGCATATGTGTATAGATATAACAGAAACAAGTCAGTGTCATAATGAATTTGTTTAAAAAGTGAAAGGAAGTTGTTTTAAGAAGCAAAAAAAAAAAAATTGTGCAACAGAATCAGAGGGCAATCAGTCCAAATTAGAGAAAGAGATGGAGAGTTCCTAGGGGGATGTTGCCAAGAAAAAACAAAAACAAAAACAAAAACAAAAAACTCAGATTGACCTGTTTGACCATATTGCAAGATGTTTTCAAGTTTCAGGGCGCCTGGGTGGCACAGTCAGTTAAGCGTCTGACTCTTAGTTTCTGCTCAGGTCATGATCTTGGAGTTGTGAGTTCAAGCCCCACATCAAGCTCCGTGCTCAGCAGAGTCTGCTTGTCCCTCTCCCTCTGTTCCTCTCTGCCGTGCACTCTCTCTCTCTCTCTCTCAAATAAATGAATAAATAAATCTCTTAAAAAATCTTGTTAAAAAGAAAGAAGAAATTTCCAAGTTTTGAAGAAAAGTTTTGGGCTACATTAGTGATAAGTACATAAAATAAACTGATCGAATAAAATGAAATTAAGGCAACTTATAAATCCAGGGTAAATTGGAAGTAATACAAGAATGGAAATGCAATTATACTATGATATATGGTTCAGCTGTTAATAATTTTCATATATTCATACTAATGTTAACACTGAATATACTGACTAAACCAAAATATGTTCTGTAATGATACTGTGAAGGTGGGGGAAATTTATATGTATAGAGAGCTGGTATAAAAGAGCCACAGTTTAATGTCTTATAAAAAGAATTCAGGGGGTGCCTGGGTGGCTCCGTCATTAAGCGTCTGCCTTTGGCTCAGGTCATGATCCCAGAGTCCTGGGATCGAGCCCCACATCGGGCTCCCTGCTCGGCAGGAAACCTGCTTCTCCCTCTCCTTCTGCTGCTCCTCCGGCTTGTGCTCTCCCTCTCTCTCTGTCAAATAAATAAAATCTTAAAAAAAAAAAAATTCAGGAGTTAAATGTATAAACTTTTTTAAAAATCAAGAAATACTAGTATGATATTAGCATAATACTTTGACTCAAAAAATGATCACCTCTGGAAAGTAGGTTTGGTGTGGGAAGGAGTGGGACAGAAATTGCTGTTTTTCCCTAATGAAATCTTACAGCATCTTGCTATGTGCCCAGAACCAGCAGCATTGTCAACATCTAAAAGCTGGTTAGAAATACAAGATCTCTGGCCTCATCCCAAGCCAAGAATCAGAGTCTGCATTTTAACAAGAACTTTGGGTGGAATTTGTGAGACAGTGAGTGTCCATGTGCTATATCTACACTGTGTTTAGTCTCAAAAGAGATGTGGAAAATTTGGAGATGATGTAGAAGGATTAAACAATTTTATTTATTTATTTTTACTTACTTATTTACTTTATTTATTTATTTATTTATTTATATTTTTAAGTAGTCTCTGTGCCCAGCAGAGAGCCCAACATGGGGTTGGAACTCACAACCCTGAGATCAAGACCTGAAATCAAGAGCCGGACACTTAACCAACTGAGCTACCCAGGCACCCTGAAGGCTTAGACAATGTTAAAAAATAAACCCTTGGGAACCTGTAAACAGAAGAGGAATTACTGAGACTAGAAAAGTCAGGGTGGCGTTGGGGGTGGCAGAGTCGGCCCTGGGAGAAATGATCTAATATTGGATATGTATTAATAACAAGTTGGAATCTACTTGTAATAAATTTCAAATGATAAAAATAGTTCTAATATGATGATATGAATGACAATTGTGTGAGGAAGATTTCATTGACAATGAGGAATGTTAAACTCAGGATTTGTTACTGAGAAGGAAGTAGAGAATTAAAGACTCCTCTCTTCCTTGGGTTAGATCACTGCTGGTACTTTACATTGACTTGAGGTAGCTGGAGTTACTGGAGTGGGATGGCTGCTTACTGGGTTAGTAGAAAGTTATGCTAGTGGAACTTTTGCTTGAAATTCCCTTAGACCACCCCTAAAATTATTCCCAGTATATCCAACTCATGAAACAGCCAGCACCCCTCCCCCCAAGCCCTTCCCATGTTGAAATAAATAAATTGCTGTTTCTTCAGTTGAGCATGAGATGAAGTAGCCAGCTTGTGTTTAGGCACCAAGTTGAACAAAACCCACATTTTTTAAACAAAAAATCTCACTGCCCTATAGGGTGCTTCCACTATGCAAACCCTGAGACAAATGAAGAATCCATAACTTCATGTTCACTAATGGATTCCTTTCACATTCTCACTAAGTTCAGTAGTGGACAGGATGATACAAGCCTATGTAGAACATTTATGAGGCCTGAGGCAAGCACACAGACGGAGACCCCACATACCACATGTCTAAACATTTAACCATTATAAATCAAGTTAACAAACTGTTAAAATATATATAGCCTCCTGCCTTGACATCTAAGCTTTCATATGACCTAACTGGCCAGGTTTTAACTCCTCAAAGTTTCACTGGAACATGGTGGCCTGGAGAGAGCAGGGCCATTCTGGACCATTGCCCACACCCCGCTCTTCCACCTCTGTGAGGGGCCTCACTGACCATTGTGGCCCAGAGGCTTCTGCTTGTGCCTAGAAATGTTTGCACTGATGGTGCCGTCTGCGCTTGGGACTCTGGGAAAGCGCACTGCCTTGGCCCCACAGACATCTTTCTCTGTAGGGAGGGCCACCGCTGGAGGATGGCTAAAGGGAGTCTTTTTGAGTATGAGGTCCCAGCCCTCCTCCATACTAGCCTCTATAGTTTAATTTATACAATTAAATGCACATATGATATAATTATTCATTGTGGATAATTTCCTCAGATCTTTGTGTTATGGCACCTGTGTGTTCACCATCCAAAGTGTGAGAAACCAGGACTCCATAGACAGAGCAATGACACTCAGAATTGTCCATTCACTTTGAAAAAAGCCTACATACTTTAGTTATCACTTTACTGAACTGGAATGTGGATGGTGAGAAGTTTCCTCAGTGATTCAAACTAATTTCTTTTTTATTTTTAAGATTATTTATTTATTTGAGAGAGAGAGCAGGAGAAGGGGCAGAGGGAGAGAATCTTCAAGCAGACTCCCCACTGAGTGCAGAGCCCAACGTGGGGCTCAATCCCAGGACCCTAACATCATGACCTAAGTCGAAGTTGGACACTTAACCAACTGAGCCACCCAGGCGCCCCTCAAACTAATATCTAATGATTACTTAAAACCCCTGATGCAGTTGTGAGGCACATTTAGAATGAGATCCAGCAAGGAAGCTGACATATAATACACATGCCTGGAGAAAAGCAGCTCCGACAAAAGGAAGCATTATTAACTTTCAAAGCTCACATGGCCATCGGTCATGGTCTTTATTACTTTATCAGTGTAGTCCCAGCCAGGGACACTATTCAATTTCCCATTCCCAGGATCCATTCTTTGTAGATGGGGGAAAACATCATAGATAAGATGCACCATTAATGGCTGTGTTTAAAAGCCATCATCTGAAATGATTATGGATTTAAAATATTCATATTTATGATATTTTTATTATATGGCACTGAATAATGTAGACGGATTGACTTCGTTGTACTTGTAAAGAAAAGCACACATTGGATAATCTGCTAAGAAACTGGAAAACTGGCAGAACTACTTGACCAGGCTCCTGGAAAAAAGATACACAACCTTATGAAAGGTAGGTATAGATGTCACCATATTCTTTTTCTTTCCTCTGCTCAATGCCTAATAATACACCCTAGAAATCTAGAATATTGTTAACAAATAGTTATGGCTTTTGACTTCAAAAGAAACCTCTGCTGAGGAGATATGACTGGGATAAGGCTAATTTTCATCTAAATTCCTTGCTCACCTCTTTTTTTAAAAAAAGATTTTATTTATTTGAGAAAGAGAGAGAGAGTGTGCGCAAGCGTAGGGGAGGAGCAGAGGGAGAGGACCAAGCAGACTTGCCACTGAGCACGGAGCCCTGAGCAGGGCTGGATCCCAGGACCCTGAGATCATGACCTGAGCTGAAGAGTCGGTTGCTTAAGCTACTGAGCCACCCAGGCGCCCCTCCTTGCTCATCTCTTAACAAGCCATAATCTATGATAATGTAGCACGGGGAGGACTATGTGGAATAGAAAATAATTAACAATAATCCATTCACTTAATGAATATTTGTTGAATACCTATCATGTGCTAGGCACTGGCTTAGATGCTGGGAAACAATGATAAAGGGGAAAATAACGGTACAATCACATGAGCGATAGACCTTAATCACAGAATCATAGGAAATAAATGGAGAATAACAACTATTCTCAGCCCAGTTTATGGCGGGGACTGCATGGAGGGTGTCCCATAAAAAGTCGACATTTTTAGTGTTATTCTTGTATTGACGTCTCTTTTGGAAAGTGTTGCTACTACTTGAATTGTTCAGAAGGAAATAAACTTTCTGTAAAAATGCCTGGGCTAGTTGGCCCGTGAGTAGTGTATCTGTGTTTGGGAACAGTGACCCTTGAAAGAACATCTGTTTGGCTATTTTGTTCAATGAAACTCAAATCGCCCAGGCTTTACTAACAGCTTCTTTGTGCTTCATGACTTTCCACCACATAAACAAAATTACTCAACACCTCGGTCTGTGGTGAGAACTGTCATTTATCAGTTAAAGCCCACTGACCAAGAGCAAACTCGAGCGGCTGCAATACCAGCTTGCCCATTCAAACAGTGTCCACATTTCCACAATGACTCTCTAGCCAGCTTTTTGCCAGAGAAGGACGTCTGGGAAAGCCTGCTTCCTGGGAATGTCTGTTTTACAGGGGCCACCGGATGCCTTCCAAATCTGGCCGTTTGCTAGGGGAAGGGACTGTGGCTTCGCGGTGGCTTCTGCAAGGAAAGATCGAAGGTGGGAGAAGCAGGCAGCAGTGGCTAATCTTGGTTTTGTGACAGCGCGTTGACTGATTTCCCGAGGGGGGGTGGGGGGGGTTGCAAAATTGCAAAGCAAATCATTAGAATTAAATACCTTTTTTTTTACAAAAAAGTAAAGACCATGCTCTATGTTGCACTTTTGCAGATTACAGAACCTTAGTCAAAAAAGCTTTAGAAACTGTCTAAATCCAATGGTTTTCAAATGTTTTTTAACCTTGAAACAAATTCTTGAAAAGAAATTCACCATCTGGGTTCTAATCTGTAAAATATATAAAATAGAGCCATCTTGACTGAAGCAGGGATGGGGGACCCAGAGCTCCACCTTTCACCAACGCCCCCCCCCCCCAAATCCAGAGATGGCTCCCAAGGCACCTCTTTGGTTGTTGGGACAGTATGGGTCTAATGCAACTTCCTCCCTTCATCCAATTCTACAGCCAGGAACCCCTGAACATCTTGACCGACCACCTCTTTGTGGATAATGTGAGTCAAACAGCCATGGGGTGCTAGGGAGGTTTAGAATGGTGCCCCTAGGGAACTATCATTCATGATATCTTGGTTTGTTCTCAATCATTTAGTAAGTATCCAGTCCAAGTTCTGACAACCACAAAAGCAGACCGGAGGGGCCCAATGTGTGTGTGTGTGTGTGTGTGTGTGTGTATCAGATGGGGGGGCAGGTGGGGTGATAGTAGGAACCCAGGACATGTGATCCTATAAAAAGGGCATACATGTATGGTGTTTTGAGGTCTCAGGGACCTGGAGCCAGAGAAGGATGTGCTCAGGGGCCCTTGAGAGGGACCAGCCCCAGCCCAGCACTTTGGCAGGTGGGTAGAGAAGGAGAAGGAGCAGTGGTTTGTCCTAAGTCAGGTACCATCTTTACAGATATTTCTCCACCCATGTAAATAGGTACTCTTTACAAAGGGGCAGCTCTGGAGGGCAGATCAGGAAGAACCACACCACATACCATCTCATTTGGTCCTATTAACAACCCTGTGAGTGCAGGTCAACCTGATCCCCATTTCATAGATAAGGAAATTGGGAGTTAGTGAGGGTAAGTGGCTTGCACAAGGTCAGCTGCCTGTAAGAGGCAGCCCCCAGCATGGTGCTATTTCCAATCCCCAGCTGATGTGTGGAGGAGTAAGGGAGAGGTCAACAACATTTCCTGAGAAAGCATTGTTTTAAATTTCTTCTAAACTTTATAAGGCTTCTGGTGCGAGAGAGCTATGGGATCTCTGAGTGGGCGGGCAAAATGAGAACAGTAAGAACAGCAGCCGGAGTACAGGGGAAAGGATGAGATGCTACTCGTAAGGTCGCAAAGACATCCCTTCTAGGAATCCCAACAGATGGAGGGAGCGCGCTGAGGCGACGGGCAGGAGGAGGTCAGCGCCGCTTCTCCCGGTGCAGGTTTTATGATCCCAGACACAGCATGGCATAGTGGCCAAGAGCATGGACAGGGGAGCCAGACTACCATGGCTTGAATCTCGGCCTGACCACTCTGTGCCTCAGTTTCCCTACCTAAAATAAGTACACTAATAGTAACTACTTCATAGCATTGTCACAAGAATTATATACATCAAGGTCATTGAAGCTCTCGGGGCCCAGTATACAGTAAATGCCACAGGAGGATTTGTTAAATACATTCTTAATCAGGCTGTGAACTCCCGCCATGGATGCTCACAGATAAGCAACAACTACTATTTGAAATCTGAGAATGAGGTATCATATCCTAGCCTTCTGGTTTTGTTTTTTTTTAAAAAAGATTTTATTTATTTATTTGTCAGAGAGAGAGAGAGAGAGAGTGAGCACAAGTAGGGGGAGGGCAGGCAGAGGGAGAAGCAGGCTTCCTGTTGAGCAAGGAGCCCAGTGCGGGACTCGATCCCAGGACCCTGGGATCATGACCTGAGCGGAAGGCAGATGTTTAACGACTAAGCCACCCAGGCATCCCTCCTAGCCTCCTGTTTTCCTGACACTTTGGTTACTACCATCTCTGACCCTATGACTTTATGAACTCCGCTTTATTGCTAGATCTTCCCCAAGCTTTTTCCTGATTTTGTTTGATCGCTCCTACTGCCTGGCCAAACCCCTGATTCCTTTGCTCATCTTTCTGAGCCCACTTCATATGTTTTGTGACTTTTCAGTAGTTCCTGTAGCACGTGAACCAACTTTTCAGTCTGGTGTGTTTTAAATGTACCTAGGTGTCATATTACAATTCTATCAACAGGGGGAGCTCAAGGAATAGCTTAAAATAAAACTGAGCTAGCAAACTTGGGGAAAAAAAGGAAGAATAAAATCATTCTGACATGACTGCACCATTTTGTTATTAATCAGGAAATAAGAGGAAATACATTCAAAGTAATACACGTAGACAGTGTTAATAAGACATTGCTTGGTTATTATATAGTAGAAGATGATTTTATGTAGATTTCTTCTCTAGGGAAACCCAAGACTTTGATTGTACATTTATAAAGATGACAATGTATTGAAGAGTTGAGCTATTTAGATTTATTCCCGTTGATCTGTTTTACTTAAGAAACGTTCAGAAGCATTGTATTTAGCCTATCCAGACTTAGCAAATACTGCTCAGGGATATGACGCTGCATGAAATGTTTGCAACTCTGGCCAAAATTCCAGTGAGATGCATGAAATGACTTTTTATTTATAATGTGCTAATGTTTCAATTAGGAAGTTTGGAAGTTTATGGATTTCTATGAGGTGGGAACAATAACTCCTACTTATCTGGTTTACCAGAATCTCGTTAAACTCAAAAGCTCTGCTTCCGTTTGCCGCTCTGCCCTATGCCAAGGTCCTACCCTGGGAGGAAGGCTTAGCTCATCTTCCCTGGGGCTGTGATGGTGGGCAAATGCTCTTTAAGACACAGTTAAGGGAATGAAGAATTTTTGGAAGGGAAAATGTGGAGCATTAAACCTGCTGTGGTCAATCTCTGTGGTTTTATGGGGAGGGCTAGCCTGATTGCAGTTGAATGCTGGATTTATAAGGTGCTTTTTCCTTCCAAATAATTCAAAGCAATTTCTCTTAGAAGCTGTGACTCTAAAGCTAGAAGACTGAACCTATACCAGCCACACCAGAGATAAGTCTCACTGCTTTACAACAGCATTATGTAGGTGATCTTACACATATAACATCTCCAAGTGGAGAGCGTTGGGCGTTACTACCCTGATCTGTTAGAGGAAAAATATGCAGTATTTCTCCATTTGCAAAGGATCACATTTTCAGTCACTGTCAGAATGGACTTAAACCCAGGTTTTCTAATTCCAAATATGTAAGGCATAGGCATACGCCCTAGCATCTAGGCCAACTAAACAGGTGATCTCCAAGGCCACTTGCAATCCAGGATTTGACTGCTCTATCATTTACTGACTCAAATGCAAACACTTGGGTCACATCAGTGTGTGCTGTTAATCAGTTCATCCAGTGGAATGCAAACCTTACATGTAAGGGCAAGGTAATTGATACCATAAATTAATAGGACTGTTTTTCCCGTGTGATTTTCACATCATATGTCATGAAGTTTGAGACTTGCCTCTTCTCTGTAGAAAATGAGTGATTTTCAGGTGTCTTGTAATAGCGGAGGACTGACTAAAGACATTATGGCACACCCGTAAAATGCAATACAGCGCAACCACTTTCAGTGTTCTCCAAGAGTATTAAGGTTATGGAAAGCTGTCCACCTTACATTGTTATGTGGGGAAGAAAGCAGGTTATAAAACAATGTGTATAAATATATTTTAAAGTAATATATACATAGATAAAGGTCTAGAATGATGTGAACCAAAATGTTAATAGTTATTCTTTTACGAGGGTGTTATTACGGCATCTGGTGGCTCAGTCGGTTGAGCGTCTGCCTTTAGCTCCGGTTGTGATTCTGGGGTCCTGGGATCGAGCCCCGCATCGAGCTCCCTGCTGGGTGTGTGTGAGGGGGAGCCTGCTTCTCCCTCTCCCTCTGCCTGCCTCTCTATCTCTCTGTCTCTCATGAATAAAGAAGATCTTTAAAAAAAGAGGCTGTTATTATATGCAATTTCTGTTTTTTCCTTTTTAAGACAAAATTTCTTACACTGTCTGCAATTATCAAGCTTTAATTTGTAACCAGAGAAACACAAATTTGACTTTCTATAAAACTATAAAGGGCAGTTTAAAAGCTTTGTAAAAACAAGAGATTATAAGGTTACTTCCCTAAAAAATTATCTTATAGAAAACATTTTGTACCTCATTTCCTTTGCCTCCAGCACTGGACTTCATTTCCTTTGGTTGCTTTGCAAAAAAAGAATAACAGCGTTTAGATGGAGAAGCATTATCAATTAAACATCAAGTTGGTCATACCCATTATAGTGATTTTCTTGGCCACAATTTTGCCTTTTAGAACAGTAACCCAGATGTCTTCTAATTCATGGAAACCTAAGGTAGTTGCCTGGATTCAACAGAAAGAAGCTCTCTGTTTCATCTCATGGGATGTCACTTTAGAAACTTTCACTGAGGTAAGTGAACAAGTTGGCATGCTATTAAGACTATGTTTTTTAGCCGACATTTTGGAAAGAGGAAATCATGCTGGGATGTCTTAAAATCTACTCAGCACTCCTTTGTACCTGGAAGGTAGGATCTGAGCTAAGCTCTGATGATTCTCAATCCCTGTGAAACCAAGCCCAACACAGAAGCCTGGGAAAACAGACGATGGGATAGTGTGCCCTATGGCACAGGAAGCTACTAAATGGCAGTAGAGATGGACACAAAAATGGTCAGGATCTAGATTACTTAATTTAAAAAAGGGCAGACAACAATTTATATAGTGTGTACAATCTGATCCCACTTAAAAAGTACATATACATGTATGTATAAAAGAAGGAAAATCAAAGTAGTTAATAGTGTTACAAGGTAGTGAGAAACAGGTGATTTTTAATTTTTAAATTTTTGCCTCTCTGATTTTCTACATTTAATTTTGTATTAAAAAGCAATTAAAGTTATTATGCAAAAGATAATATATTTGAAAATGCTTTGCAACTAGAAGTGGATTGTAAAAAAGTAAGGTTTTGTTAATTTATATATTATACCTGCTGGAAGAAAGACCTAACCACTTTTTGGTATGTTCCTTGTTCTTTTCCACATGACTTTTTTGAGAGACAGACATCTCTAAGTTAAGGCCTCTCTTACAGCTTTACTTATTAGCAAACATTGTCCATTACTGAAAATTTCTTAAGGATAGAAATTGAACGTAAGCAAAAAGAGCACTAGTTATAAGGATGTATAATATATGACTCATCATTACACTTTATTTATTTATCAGTCTCACACTGGAGGGATTCAGTTAAAAAGAAATGTACTCTTCAATACTAAAGATCAAACAAAAACAAAATCAAAACCAAAAACCAGCATAAATTTGTATGGGTAGATATCTATTAACCTAAATTTTATCTTTTAAAAAGACCGTTTGAGGTTGATTCGGTGGTGCCCCAACACTCAGGTGAGGTACTTCCTAAGTGTTAATAAACCATAAGTAACCTGCGTCTGGCAAGAAAGTGGTAGAGTCTTTGGGAATCTAAGAACTATACAAAGAATTAGAAAGAAAGCAGGAAGAGAACTCTAGGTTAAGAGGAAGTGGTAAAAACAAGAAGCAACAGGGTGAGGCTGGGTCAGAAGCTTTCTAGACATGCCAAAGCAAACTGTATGCAACTGCCATACCCAGGAACATCCTACTTCCTCAAGCCACTCCTAAAATGAAAGCACCTTTGGCCAGACGTGTTGCTGGATATCATTTCTCGGGGAGATTTAAAAAATAAAATCAGGAATGCCTATCCATTATAAGACCAATTATCTCTGTCATCATTATCAAAATATACTGACCAGTTGCTGTCTATATTTAGGTACTATATCACCATTGTTGAGAACTCAGACTTCTGAGTTAAGGTTCCGTGTTCTTTCTGACATTTTTAATTCTTCAATGATGGCATGTTTTACTTCTCAATATGGCCCTTAATCTCATACAAGAAACCCCCCAAACCCAAAATACATTGACTTATAAGGCCTATTTGTGAAGATGTATCTGATTAGGGGAGGGGGAGAAGTTTCTGTAATTGAACTCACCAAATGTCGAAATTCTACCGAGAGACTCCCGTTAGAAGATTCTTCAATGGACATGGCTTTGACATGAGTTCCACAAAGGACAAATCTTCGATTGCTACAGGGAATATCTTAGCTATTTACATGGTCTCAGATAAAATATATTTATGAGAACAGCAAAAAAATTCTAAAATAAATTTCTTACCTTAGAGTTGAAACGTTCCTGTAAAACCAAGGAGATTCCTTAAAATGAGCTATTTTATAGATCTAGTAAAAACTTTCTTTGATACTTTAGAGGATAGTATAATATAGTCATAAATTTTCACTTCAAGACTTAATAGTAAAATTTTTTAAAGTAAGTCTTCATTGGAGTTCTATTAAATGTTTGAACTTCAAAGTCAAATATTTGAAGTACGTTGATATGTAATGTTAGAGAAATACATTTAAAAGTTTGAAATTATTCTATAAAATGAGGAAAATTCTTTTTAAAAAGTCTCACATTTTCATGTTTCAAAATGAAATTAGAAACTTACTTGTCAATTGATGCTTTCACTTTTACCTGATAGTTTAGTTCTGGCAATTTTATTAGTAGTCTGGAAAGACACATAAATAAAGAATCAGAGGCAAAAATGAAAAGTGCCAAGAGCCTTTTTTTATTTAAATATTTAAATATATTTATGTCATATATATAAATCAAATTCAGGTTACCTCTAGTTACATGTTACTGTATTTTAAAAATATCCAATTCATTGTTGAATCACTATACTGCACACCTGAAACTAATATAACACTATATACTAACTATACTGGAATTAAAATAAAAATAATTAAAAATAAAAATGTCCAACTCTTCTTTAGTTTGTCATGTTACTGATGTTGACACCAGCCACTTAATATCGTATTGACAAACATTTGGAAAGTATTTTCAGCTGACGTGCAGTAGCTAATACATTGGCTAGGTCAGAAAAATAGCTATATATTTTGGCTAAAGCCCACATTTGGGTTAAATGTATAAATATAAGAAAAATTCTTTGCAAGTTTATTCATATGGCCCCATTTTATTCTCATACCATAACAAAAATTGTAAGCTTAGAAAAACTAAATGTCTTGATGATCACTGTTTTATGGTTAAAAATACTGAGAAAGACCAGGCCTCTGATGGAATGTGAAAAATTCCAATTCAAGTGCATTTGCAATCTTTAAATACACTATGAAAGTAACAGCAAAAATGTTCATAACTAGAAAAGATCTAACTCCAAACAAACAAGTGATTAAAGATCAGAGTAACAATTCCTTTAATTTCTTCTTCTGGTGTCAGCTCCTCCTCTATTCTTTTGCTTTCCCCAACTCCTTCAAGTTGGAACCTCTGATATACCCTCTCTGTGGGTTCAGTCCAGTTTCAGAAATATTAATTCAATCACTCACTCACTCATCCCAATCATGCACTCATCCCAAACCTCATTCATTCACTCAGCATGTACTGAACTCTTCATCTCCACCCAGTACAGCCCTAGGTATTAGGGAGCTGGTGTAGTGAAGTGTAGGGAAGGGAGAAGTGTGGACATGGCTACATGTAAAAGGAAGAAGTCCAGCTAAATATAGTAGATGGAATATGGAGAATGGTGATAAGCAACTGATGGGCATTAGAGAAATATAATCATAGATGATAGCCCAAACAAAAGTGTGGGTAGAATGTGACAGAGGTTCCTTATAAATTCTGTATGAAGCACCGAATTGGTTTTAGGGTTCAGAATGTGATGTGTGTAGTTGTTAGCAGTGAGGGGTGAGGAGGTCACGTGAAATAGGGTAGGAAGGATCATAGATCAGGATCTGATTCACAGGAAGATGCTGATGACTAAAGGGAGTTCCATATGACCCCTTCCTTTGAAACAGGAAATACTATGGTAGGGAGGGGTTTTAGGGAAAATCTTGAATACTAAGTAAATGATCATCTATCAAGACAGTGGAGATCAGGGCACAGAGAAGAAGGACAGGGACCCAACCAACAGGTGGAAGAGAAAAGCAGGAACACTCAAATCAGGGACTAATGGTCAATGTCCCAGTCATCAGTTCAAACAACATGCAAGGTGATGCCCATTTGGGGGCCTCTTCTACTTGGAACTCTTGGCTGAGCAATCTCTACTCATCTCTCTTTTTGTCCCAAAGAGCATCTTAGACTTATCATATCATCTATGGGGGTGCCTCAAGGAAAAGTAGGATGCCCATCACCCCTCTACCCTTTAGTGTTACTATCTTCTGGGTTATATAGAGATGTTGGGATGAAGAATGAACAACTCTTGAAAATCATGAAATTTTAAAAGAGAACCTGGTCTCTGGCTTTTGTTCTTGGTTCCTAAGTCTTGCTGCAAAATTCACGCAAAGGAAACAATTAAGAATTTCATGTAAAGTATTTAAAATGCACACTGAAGGAAGTGCCACCTCTTTAAAAATGGAGTTCTGAGGTGACGGATGTTAACGAAACTTTTTGTAGTAATCATTTTGCAGTTTATGTAAGCCAAGTCATTATGCTGTACAGCTTAAACTTCTATAGTGTTGCTGCATGTCAATTACATCTCAATAAAATGGAAATGAATAAAATAAAATAAAAATACAATTCTGCTAGTGATATGGGATCAGAAAACCTATCATGGGGCCCTAAATCACTATGTGGCATCTTCACCTCTTGTCCTGGTCAGAGGTAACTTAATTAGGAATTTAAAGCTTGGGAGCCTTGGAGATTGATGCATGATGAAAATCTTTGAAATCTCAAGCTCAAATTCATGATTTTAAGTGTCATTAGGGAAAATGATACATTTTGGTTACTCATGCTAATGGAAAGGATCAAATGCATAGACAAAGCAACAACTCAAAAGCCATATGTCTTTAAATCCGGTACATAGTAAGGATATATTGAAAATTACAGTGTTGAGAGTTTTCATGGAAAATCCTATAAGCTATTTGCTCGGCAATCATAGGGGATGAATGTGCCACTATTATTTCCTGGGTAAGATATTCAAAGCCTTCCATATTCTGTCCCCAATCTATTCAATTCTACCTCTCCCTGCTTCACTTACTTGCAAAACAGACCCAGGAAGTCATTATTTCTGTAGTCTCGCTCTCCTACAATCCCACTTTCCCTCCTCTCTCTGCTCCTCCCTCAAGGTCCTTCCTCGAAAGGACCACAAGACTTCTCCAGACTCTCTAGTCTTCTCCCAAGTTAATCTTTTCAGCAATTGATCCCATGATGCCTGATACTGTGATTCCATCCTTTCATGCTAATATCCCTCGTGTCTTCATCTTTACTGTCATATTCTTTATAAGCAGGGCCCTCATATTAACATTTCTGAGGGTATCTACCATAGCTCAGTGCTGGGCATGCAGGAGGCACTTAATACAGAAGAGTTGAATGAAAGTCCCTAGGAGAGAAATTGGTCTTATTTAAACAGTGGCTGTGGCTCCACAAACAGAGGAAAAGATAGAGCACATTCTGCCTACCTTAGCTTTACAGTGAACTGAATAAGAGTTTTAAGTACCATCGGTCTCTGGGGGTGGGTTGGCATGCATGGCTGTCGCTCAACCACAAATGAGCTAGATTAAAAGGAAATAAAACACGTCATTTGAAAGCATTGAAAATATCGACAGGCTGAAAACCACAGAGAAACAGGATGCTGTCCTCTTAAAAAATCCAAATTTTCTACATTTACAAGACATTCAAACCTCCGTTACGCTCAAATCTTTCTAAAGACTGCTCATAGATAATTACCAGGAGATGGAAAAAATGCCTAAAGATTGTCCTTTAAATAATAACAGTAAATAATTCTTGTTACCCTTGAGTCGAGAATAAAAGCCTATTTTTATCATACTATTTTATCATAAAGTAAAAAGTTAATTTCATGCCATCTTTTAACTGGATATTAGAAATCCTGGTACATAGTTGTGTTTTTTTTTCCCCCTTTGGATGAACTTATACACATAAACATGGCCTCTACCCTTCATTTCTTGGATATATACTTAAGAAGAAATTGCTGAAATCCTTTTCTAAAATGTGAAAAATGAACTTCAGCTGGATGTTGTGCTTGGCTCATAGAAAACTGAATCAGCTTTTGGGAGAGGTGTTGAATAAATAGTGAAGAGCAGAAATGTTTCTAGAACTCTCTGGAGCTTTATTCACTTTACCCTGAGGTTCACTGTTTAACACTTCCCTACCTTCCTTCACCTTAACACCAAAACCCCAGCCAGGGTGTCCTTACAACTCCACAGGACTGAGGCCGCCATGAGACATTTAAATTTACTTACTTCTTAAAAAGGTTGTAGATCAAGAAGGTGACTCTTTCTAGCAGATGTGCTCTTTGCATGGGGATGGGGTCTCCTTCATATGTCATTTTAGTAGACTGTTCCTCTAATTTCTCCAATTGCCTTCTGAGTTGAAACAGACTTTCTGCCAACAGTGTGAAGCTATCAAACAGCAAATGAAAATCAGCAGGTAGTTTTCCCACTTAACAATCTACCATTCTGGGGCACCTGGGTGGCTCAGTCATTAAGCGTCTGCCTTCGGCTCAGGTCATGATCCCAGGGTCCTGGGATCGAGCCCCGCATCGGGCTCCCTGCTCTGCGGGAAGCCTGCTTCTCCCTCTCCCACTCCCCCTGCTTGTGCTCCCTCTCTCGCTGTGTCTCTCTCTGTCAAATAAATAAATAAAATTAAAAAAAAAAAAAAAGCAAGGGGCCTTTCCATTAAAAAAAAATCTACCATTTTAACTGTTAGCCACATTAGCAAGCAATAAATTATTAAATAATTATTCAATTAACAAAATCATTCACTTAATTCCATTAAAGGTTAGTGGCAGTTCTTTATGTTTATTCCCCCAATCCTTTTTTTCCTCTAAGATGCATGACAGATGGAAAATGTTTTCAATGTTTTGTCATTTATACCTGTAGTTATAGAAATCATTTATAAAATTTTGTCAACATCAGGAACCAAATCCCTTTTAATGTTTGTTTAAAAGTCTGTTAAACATATAGATGTTAAGGATATGGCACTCATTAATGGATAAAGAAAGAGCAAATTTAAAACTTTAAAGATACATGATATGAAGAATGTTATGTACAAGAATACTAAAGAAAAAAAAACAATATGAAATTTTTTATGTTTTTCACAAAACATATGTTTTTTACAAATCCTAAGTATTGGCCAAAAATGATCTGTCTGGAGAAAGGTACAGGCTTAGAGTTTTACTCACTATGTGGTGATCTCACCTTGGAAATGAAGGTGGGAACTTGGGCCCGAAGTCTAGGGAAGAGACAGCCTGAAACGGACACCCAAGGGACCATCAACTAGAGAAGAGGTGGGATGTCTGGACAGACTTGGTAAGTCCATCTGGCCCCGACAGCAGCTCTTTCTACTTAGAAGTTTACTCCCCACATAGTGCTATAAAAACATCTGTCCACCCCCCACCAATTTTGGTATAAGCACTGTTATCTCCTAAGTTCTTGATTGCTTCCTTTGTTGTTTATTATTTTTATTATTATATTTTATTTTTATTATGTATTTACTGTTTATTATTACAGTGAGGTTAGAGAATAGAAGTATCTCCCCAAGGACACTCAGTACGTTTTAGTATATGTGGAGCCGAAGCGAGCACACTCAGTATGTTTTAGAAAGAGCCCAATTCCTTACTGTTCTGGAGAAGAAGGCCCGGCAGGGCAGAGGTTTCAGTGCAAATGGCCCCAGTTATGACATATTTCCATTGAACTGAATTGTACCCTTTGAAAGCAATTTTAGATTTCAACTGAATGTTTTCCTTCTTTTTCATTATTTTTTTCTAAGTGTTCTTTCAATCAGATATTTTTATGTCGCATGGATGAGGAAAACCCTATCAACATTTGTTCTTGTAATACAAAGGGTAATATCTGCATATGATTGCCTATGTGCATGCATTGGGGATGTCAGGTCGTAGGAGCCATTTGAGATTTTTCATTTAAATACAAAAATAAATCACTCTGTTGAAAACACAAAACCAGTGTTTAATTCCAGCTTCTTAAGATATACCTTTAAAAACTGAGATATCTTTTCCCAAGCTTTTGAAGCTAGTGCTTCTTACGTCCCTATAGAAAGTTGTATTCATTGCTGGTTTCAAATATTCATTGGAGTCTTTTAAGGTTAATATATTATGGGAGAGAATTAAGCAATTCTTATGCATTCTACAGATTTCTACAGATGCTTTATTTTTGGCCTCAGGGGAATAAGAGTAAAAATACGTATGGTATGCATCGATTTTTTCTCAACCTTGGAGTTCCCAGCGGCTAATAAACCATCAATAACCTCAATGAATTTATGTTTTGGTCTGAGCCTGCCTTCTCTGGCTGAGCGAAACTGAAGTTTTGTACTTCCTGTGGTTTTCACTAGAAACTAAAGTCAATTCGTTTTACCAGTTTTGAAGCTGGTCGAGCCCATTGTGGAGCGGCCCGCCGATGCAGGCGATCTGCTGTCTCCTCTTCCAGTCCTGCAGCTCTTCCATCAGCATGCTGTTCATTAACAAGTCCGTTTCATTTACTATTTGGGTCATCTTACTGAGGGCTTCCTAAAAACAAAGGTGACTACTGAAAAGATTTTCGTGAGATACAACCGAAGTCACTCGTAATTCAACCCGTGAAATGATTTGTCTGACCTGGGGGATAAAGGCTTGGTTAAAATTCTCACCAAATATTTTATCAAATACTACCTTCTATTTATCACAGCACTGCCTTTTCCAACTTTCCATATTAAATTCTTATAATTAAGTAATGTTATTAAAGGAAAAAGCATGATCGCAGTTAACAATCTCATACCATCTCATAATATCATTGAATATCATCTAGTACAAATTCAAATCCATTGAATTTGTAACTCCTGTGACAATATTGGATCTTCTAGTCATACAGCCATATCTCTGCTTTTTAAAAAGACATAAATTAAATTTATATTCTTATAAATATATGCATTTATTCTAAAATGTGGTGACTAAAATTTGAGCCTTTCTGTGTTAGTGTTTTTAGGACTTTATCTGGGTTGAGGGAGGTATAGTGGAGAAGTTTAACTTTCAAAGGCCTAAGGATTAGAAGGTGTGAATTCCTATCCTGGTTTTGTGACAAGCCACGTGAATCTGGAAAAACCACTTGACTTTGCTGGAACTTGGTCTTCTGACCTATACAATGAGGTGATTGGAACAAATTATTTCCAAGGCTCCTTCTGTCTTAAAATCTTATTTCTAAAGCAGAATAAGATAGCACGCATAAAACATATAGCATAGATCTATTATGCATAAATGCATTAAGCTTATCTTGGATTAAATATTGGCATGTTTAAAATCTGATTTCTAACTGTTGAAGTTTATAATGTAGGGTGAAAATAAATTTTACATTTATTTGTGCTCACACAAATTCCTGCACAAAAAATGAAGCTGAACTTTTAGAAATAAACTCTGGATTTATCAGTGACTGCTCAAATTTCAATTGCATTTATTTTCAAGGAGAGATAGAAAGTTGAAATAGAGCTGTTTCCCCCTTTTAAAATATTTCATTGAGCCAGAAAAAGCTTTCTCCTCTCCTTGAAAGGAGGTTAGATTGAATACGTTCAGTTGTCAGTGAACTATCCTGAAATCTATTCAATTACTTAGCATGAGGTCATTTTTCAGAGTGGAAACTGGAATGTTGATTTTTCTAATAAAATTTTAGCGGCCATCAAGTAATATTTTAGTTATACATGTAGTAGAACCCATATCAGCATATTAAGTACAGAAACTAAAATGGTCATGTCTGAAATAGTGGCAAATAAAAACTGGGTAAAATGTTTGCCTTGAAATTAATGGTACAGTAAATGTACTGCATAAACAAGATAGATAAACTCGAGAGAGGGCCAGCTTTGTAAACTTAGGAAGAGAAGCATGGCAAACAGTATGGCACTCTTCCTAGAAACACTGCCGTTTATTCATTCAGCTTAAATAAAACTGAATGAATCCAAGAGCTTGATTCTTTTCAGTGGGAGCAGAATATAGGAAAAGGGGAAAAAGAGGCAAAAGGCCAACTTAACGTTCTTCACTAACCTTTCTCTTGAAGTCGAGACTGTTAAGCATTTCTTGAAGAGTCAAAATTTCCTGATTCATTAGGGCATTGTTCTTGTCCCCCTGATCTGTGAAGGAAAAGAGATGAGATTTAGAGTCCTCTCCAAGGCGAAGCTCTCTGTCCCGAAAGCCAAGTCTGATGCAATCCCCATCCTTAAGTCCTAAGATACAAGAGACTAAATGCGGCCATTGCAGAAGAGCTTGAAAGTAAGTCCCTATCTGTTCATTTGCCAAGAAGGATCACCTCCAAGCAAGCCAGGGAGGAGCTCTCTATCTTACAGACCTTGACAGAAGACCATTCCTCACACCATTCTCCTTTTTGGGGTGGGGAGAGGGTTAAAAAGGTTTTTGAAATGCATTCCTTTTTAGACACCTCTACACTGACAATAACCCTACCTAGCTGGCATAAGTAGGAAAGGGGCCATCTTTGTGCCCATTATTAAATCATATTTGATTCTTCCTGATCCCTTTACCCACCTGTTCCCGCTCTACTTTTTATCCAGGAATTACAGAAAACTGCCTGGAAGGGTTGCAGTTTTATCCACTTAGTCTCATGAACTAATAAAGACTAAATCCTTTGCTCCCCCCCCCAACCTTTTTTTTCCTTTGCAAAATGGGCTTGCCTCACAGTAAAACTAGAAGTCGGAAAGAATTACAAAGGAAGAAAAATCTCTGACTGAAAAAACCCCAAATGGCTTATCCTCTTAAATGGGAGACATGGAATAAACATTTATACTCTTTAACTTGAACCTTTAACTTTATTGGTCTACAGCAAGTGATTGTTTATACCAACCCTCTTGTTTATGCAGAGTGAAGGTCGGAAATGCCGGTCTGACTTGAGTAATTGTGAAAAAGAGACTGCAAAACAACATTGTGCCAAATTTCTCCACAAAACAGCACTGAAATCCGGGAAATCATTCCTGGTTGTATTAATTCACAAACTTTCTAATTCCTAGATCCCACGTGTAGCAAAATCTTGCTCATATATAGTCTTTCATAAACCCAAAACTTCATTTTCTAATGCTTTTCAGTCTTCACCAGCAAGATACAACTTGTTTCCTGTGCATCTTTCATTTCACTTAAAACATTTCATTTCACTTATAACCAACAAAATGAATACTTAAAGTTGATGTTAATGACAGAATGAGCATTTTTTATTCTTCGTAATGCTCATGAAGTACTAATTATAGTAATTGTCATATATTAAGTCCAAAATAATTTTATTGTTTAATGTATTTTGTTACATCCTACTTCTTTTTTTTTTTTTAAGATTTTTATTTATTTATTCATGAGAGACAGAGAGAGGCAAAGGGAGAAGCAGGCTTCCCGCCGAGCAGGGAGCCCGATGCGGGGCTCCATCCCAGGACCCTGGGATCACGATCTGAGCCGAAGGCAGACGCTTAACCATCTGAGCCACCCAGGCGCCCACATCCTACTTCTTAAATTGGTGGTTCACATATGAGATTTCGGGTGAGACTGCTTCCTTTTCTTTTTTTTTTTTTTTGAAGATTCCATTTATTTATTTGACAGAGAGAGACACAGCGAGAGAGGAAATACAAGCAGGGGGAGTGGGAGAGGGAGAGGGAGAAGCAGGCTTCCCGTGGAGCAGGGAGCCCGATGCGGGACTCAATCCCAGGACCCTAAGATCATGACCTGAGCGGAAGGCAGACACTTAATGATTGAGCCACCCAGGCGCCCTGGGTGAGACTGCTTTCAGTGGACTGTAACGCTTGGTGAAATTGGCAGTTGTAAACATTTTTAGGATCACGATCCCTCTGATAAGCTCTGATAATCCCCAGGTTTGTGCCATTTCTTCTGAAGGGAAAAACTGTACATATAAGCAACTATGAACATTTTAAAGATTATTTATTTATTTAAGAGAGTGAGCGAGCAGGGGAAGGGACGGAGGGGAAGCGAGAGGGACAAGCAGACTCCACTCTAAGTGCAGAGCCCAATGCGGGGCTCGATCCCACGACCCTGAGATCATGATCTGAGCTAAAATCAGGAGTCATTTGCTTAACTGACTGAGCCACCCATGTGTCCTGCAACTACAAACATTTTAAATATTATTTCCTGGGAGTCAATACATCCTGGAGATGCCAGGATAACACATCACTCCTCACCTATGCCAAACAAGATTCCTATCCTAATATCCTCACTTTTAAATCTGAGATAAAAGTGAAGCGCTTGGTCACAATCATCCATACTTCCTTCCAGATAAATTTTAAGTTAACATTTCAATAGTTAAAGATGCTTCTGTAAATAAAAGATTTCTATCCAATTTGTTTTTAAGAATTATTTAAAAATAATTTTAGAATTACAAAAGAGTTGCAAAAATAGTAGAGTTCCCATCTGCCCTTTATCCAGCTTCCTCTAATATCTTACATCAGCATAGTACAGTTATCGAAGCCAGCAAATTAACATTGGTACAGTCCTATTAACAATCCTGTTAATCTCAATCTAATTGGAATTTCTCTGATTCTCCCACTAATGGGAACACACTTCAAACGATCAATCCTGTTACTTGTAAATTTTAGACACTGTAAATATTCTCATTCTTCCTTTCTATTTTTTAAAAAAACATCAAATTGTAAACAAATTCAATGTTTAATCACAAAGATATAGTCAAACAATTGCAGTGTCCTTACATTTTGACATTTATACAGTTATTGAAATTATGTTTTTGAAGATTTTTATGATATGGGAAAATACTTAAAACTTCAGAATGCAATACACAAACCTATGTAAAGGATTATCTCAAGTTTGTTGCAAATAAATAGATATGTGTGTATTTGAATGTATAGGGAAACTGTTGGAAGGAGACATACTAACATTTTGACAGTGTTTATCTACAGATAGTGGAATTTTGTGTGATTTTTTATTTTTTAATGCTTTTGTCTATATTCCAAATTTCCTACAGTGAATCACATTCTACCTATAATTAAAAAAAAATTTTTTTAAAGCAGTCTCCACACCAGTGTGGAGCTTGAACTCATGAACCTGAGATCAAGAGTCGTGGGCTTTATCGACTGAGCCAGCCAGATGCCTTATGTTTCTACTTACAATCTTAAAAAACATATTAAAAAACTCACCTAGGGATGACATTAGTAATTTCCTGATCATACTAGGCAACTATCATTACTTTTCTTAGTCATGATAATGATGTCTTGATTCTATAGGAGAATGTTTTTAGTTTTTGGAGATATGTGCTTAAAGTAGGAGTGATTTCTCATGAGCTTTATAATTTATTTTGAATTGGTTGGTAAAAAAAATATATTTATATGGAAAGAAAAGGAGGAAGCAAAATACTCCTCTCCTGTACTATCTCTTTAAAACAAAAACAAAAGCACTTCCCTTAAGGAGGTAGATCAATTTGTCAATTTTGTCAGTATAAAGAGGAAATCCTAGTCATGTTGTCTTTATGTCCCTAAGTAGAATTATAGACAAAATAAAAACTTACCCATTGTCTGAATTGTTTTATACCTGTAGTCAAATTCATCTTGCAGGTCTTCTAAATATTTGGTGTCTTGTTCTGTCATCTTTTTACAAAAGAAAACATACTCACTCTGTTGTTTTAATTAAGCATGTCAGTGAAACATCATCATCAGTATTTCCAAGTATGCTGTTTGGTGCTTCCGGCCTCTAGTCACGTCCTGGACTAAGTGTATAGAACCTACATTTCTAAAGAGCAATACCCATGAAGGTTGAATAGCACTGGAAGAACCAGACTAAATCTGCTTTTCCATTTGTACTTCCTGATCATTTGGAAATCTTTCAGCATCTTGCCTCTTATTTCTCATTTAGTTCCAAATGACTCTACTAATGTCTTTTATTTTGCTGGAGAATATGGATACCTTTTCCCTTTTAGTCCCATATAACTCTGCATTAACGTACCAATTATCTTTTCACTTAAAGTCTCCATTCTAATCTGCTGTAGTTTATGGCAATTCAGTCTACATTTTTCCCCCTCTCTACTTCTTAGAAAAATATCCCTGTGTCTTGTTTCTGTTTTGAGATTTCACTTTGCTCTTCTCCAAACCTGGTGATGGCTGTCTGCTCATAATAGGTATTAAGTGCCAAGATCTGGGCTAAAGGCTTTTCTTATATTATCTCATATAGTCCTTCACAGCAATCCTGTGATGGTGGTCATCCTCACTTTTATAGACAAATGCAGAGATTTACAATGTGAAGGTTTAGAAGCATGGAGTTTGGTGAGGTAGGCCCAGTCTCCAGTAAATTAAAGCTGAAAAGTTCCCCCCCAAGAAATCTTTTCTAATATGAACATAGTATGTGAAAGATAGTTATTTTATTATCAAATTGCCCTGTGATTTCTGTAAGGACTAACTTTGGGCACAGTTAGATGTTTGGGGGCAATAGCTAGCCTTGCTTGGTTTCTATGAGCTTACTCACCTGCACACTATTTTTAATGGCAGCCACTTTGTGCTCCACATTCCTCTGCCTTTCTGAGACTGAAGAACTTTGTAAGGATTTCTCCAGAGGTCCCTGGAAAAAGAATGTCTTGAAATTTCAATGATATGAATAAAACAAGTTTATGATATGTGTAGTATATGTAGTATACTTTGAAATGATGTTTGAATTTATAGGATATGGAATACTACACAGCCATTAAAAAGCATACTTTATTTAATGACATTTAAAGTAGCATTACGTTGTTAAGAAATAGAGCAAATTATAAAAACACCATGTATTTATGATCCCTCTTCCTTATATATATGTATGTATAAATATATGGGTATATGTATAGACATGTAAACTCAAGTACATATGATTGGAAGAACACACACACCAAAACATTATCAATATGTAAGTGGAATTACAGATGATTCTGTGGCTTAAACTTCTTTTCCTAATTTTCTATAACAGACTTACGTTGCTTTTGAAATTCTCTAAAATGAATACATGTAATTTAAAAATGAGTATAGCAAAACTACATTAAATTGGACTTAAATTCAGAATTAGGGATGTTGACTCTGCTAGGATGAGATTTACTTTTACACTGGAACAAAGGGAATTCACTAAAGAATATCTAAAAATGTTAGCCTAAATAGAAAGGCTAACCAACCTTTCCACGCACCATTTCTTGGTCATTCAAATAATCTAACATTGAGTGTTCCTTAGATATAAAGACACTGAATGTGTTCCTTAGATATCAAGCCACATAGATACCCAGTTAGAATGTCAGCAACCTTTGCCTTAGAGTTGGGAGAAGAGCTCCAGTTAGAAAGGCTGATGACTTGACTAAGCAAATCAGTGGTGGAACCTCAAGTAGAACTAATGTGGTTGGCTACAAATCAAGTGTTCTTTCAACCAAACCACATTCTTCAGATTGGAAAAATAGTTATAAAATCCCTCTCTCTCTCTCTCTTTCTCTCTCTCTCTCTATATATATGCTTCCATGTATTTGTATATTGGTTTGAAGGTTTGAAATTTTTGTGGTAGTATGTGGTACTGGCAGATTGTTTGTAGTTTCTAATTTGACTGATACCTGACATTTGAAGACAACACCCACACCCACACCCCTCCCCCCCCCCCACACACTAAAATGACTGGAGATAAGAGGGATATAGAAAAGGATAGCTGAGAATATATGTGAGAATATCATATATTAGTAGTAAGAGCATCTTAATTTTTACCTAAAATGCACTGAATCAAACTATATTTACTTTAGAAGCACTATACTTTAGATTTTAAATTAAATAAAAATATTATCCTTTATCTAAAAAAGAAGAGCAAATTGTTAAAATTTCATATTTTTCCAAAAACAACCATAACACGACAATAACTAAGTCTAAACATTCTTAACAGCTCAAAAAAGATACTTTCCTGGGACCTTTAGAAATACATATAGTGGTGTGATTTACTAAATTATGGAGGACATCATCTGGAAACTGATTACTTACATACTCTTTCCTTTTTATAAGGATTAACTGAAAAAGTATTCCCAAGGACTTCATTGATCCCTCTACTTGTCTTTGATAGGGGCTCTGAATTCACTGAGAATAGTGTGATAAAATATAATCTAAAATACAGCAGGGCAAAGTACATTGAAACAATCAACAAGCAAGTATTTATGGAGTTTCCATAAGATAAAATTTTGTATGTGTAGTTTTGGACTGGTGGGGGGTAGGAAATCGGGAGCCATAGAAGGTTTTGACAAAGATCAGTCCCTGAGGATAATCATGCTGAGGGAAGCAAAGTCCAAACGGTAGTTAGGAATTCAGCTAGGAGGCAGTTAACTATATTCCTCAACTGATATTGTAAGACCATGGACCAGAGTGTGACCAATGGAAACAGAAAAGAATGTATAGAGAGGAGTCCAGAAACAAACTCTAGAAAGCCTTGGTAATTATCTCAGTATGAAGGCAGAGAAAAGGAATTACTCGAAGATGATCCTAAGATCTTGATTCCAAGTGACTGGAAGGATGGTGGCACCATTAACACAGGGAGAAGGAGCTGATGGGGAAGAAGGTAAGAATTTCTGTTTCAGAAAAATGGAGTTCCAAGTGATAACAAGACCACAAGTTCAGAAAATATTACCTGAACGGGCATGTTGGCTGCAGCCAATATTCTCCTCTCTTCCCTTAAACAATTCGAAATAACCACAGCTACGTGCATTGGATTTCCATGAAATTTTCCCTGGAAAAAAAGTGAGCAAAAACAAACATAAAAGCTTAAATATATACATCATATGAAAACATCACTACTTGTAAATCAAAAATAATCTCTCAATAAATATACGAAACTATTTGGGATTTGTTTCAACAATCTATTCTAAAGCCACAGAAACATGTATTGTGAAACTCCTATGGAGCATATTGCTCTCTCTTCAAAAATCATTTTTAATAATTAAAAATAATTCTTGAACACCCCTTAGGAAAGGCCCTGAACACACACTCGGGAGGATCCGTTTATTTTAGGCTTAGGATAGGTTCTAGGTAAAAGAGTTACTTCTTTGTAAATGATTATGCACCGGGGTGCTCCAGCCGTTCGCCCGTTCACTCTGTGCTCCGTGGTAAGTTTAAAGCATTCTTTGGTCCCTGTTTACCGTTGTTCATGTTAACTAGCTTATAACTATATGAATTTACTAGAGGGAGACTATCACACATTTCAGCAACAATATTTTTATCACACCTAAGCATATACATTTTTTACTACCCGGGCTAATGGTGCAGAACTTGGAACTGGCAGCCTATGGGCTTAATTCAGCCGGTCGGTACGCCATGTGAGTTAAATATTATAATCCCTTCAGGAGGAGCATGTACCTCCCACAGCTGCCATTGTATCCACCACTGAGAAACCCAGGCACTAATAATTTGCCTTACCTGCCAAGACCCTGTAGGAGTTTCAGCTGTCTGGGTTTATAGGACTGATCCCAACAACACCATCATTTTAGTCAATAGTGTTAAACGTCTTTGTTAATAGACCTTTTCCAAGCCAGGGTTAACAGGAAGCTTCATAAATGTAGACAAATACATTTATTTAGTTTCCCTCTACCCTCCTCTCTGAAGGACGTGCTAATTAGCTACGAAATGGTCAAACGGGTCAATAAGAGAAAAAAAATAAAATAACTATCCATAAAGTGGAAAATTAACAATTAATCAAAAGGAAGATTATACAGATTATACAGACTGACAAACCAAAGGGTCTTTCAAGGGACGAAATGAGGTTGTAAACATTTTTATGACCTTCACTGCTGCCACAGTTTTATTAGATGATGCACATTAATTAGGACATTGATTTGTAAAACGAGGGTAAACACCAAGTTTCTGAGTTCCTGCTCTTCCATATTCTACAGGCTTCAAAACTCTTTTTTCCCTTTTAAATCAGAAAGCTCCAAAGAAAAAAATAAAAATGAATTGACAGAAGTTCATAAGGTAAAGAAATTAAAATGATCCTTTTTATTAAGCAGAGATACGAAATTTCCCATTTCTGCATGCTGACAATTTCAGATTCTCTCTAGTTAGAATTTGTTCCTGTTGGTTGTTAATTTTCCTATCTACTGATGTTTTCCATATACCTTCCATTCAACTTCCCAAGAAAAAACAATGTTTTCTCATTTTGCCTTTATTTTGCAAATATTCCATTGTTAAAAATAAAGGGCTTCTTCTGGGGCTCCTTTGGAGGCTCTGTTACTTATGTAAATTTGAAAACTCCTCTTCCTGTCCAAGATCTGGAGTTCCTGTAAGACCCTGAGAATCACTCTTATTTGTCCTTGTTTTTCTCACCATTATAGGAGCTTTTCCATGATCATTCAGATATTATCTTTCTACATTTGTCAGCTCCATTGTGCACATTTTCCTTTTCCTTTCCTACTTGAACTGTTTACCTTCCCTTTCAGATTCAGTTTCCCCTCATGTCTTAGAAGGTTAAACTATTCATTTTTCTCCCTTGTTCAGAGCACAAGATCACCATCGTGTCCATCTAGGCTATCTTTTCACTTTCCTTTTGCATTTTTCCTAACTTAGTCCCTCCCTTAAATGTATGAGACAAAAACTTCTTATGGAAAATTGATCATTATAGATTCAAAACCAAATTAGTGCTTTTTATTTTTGTAAATATCAAAGATGTACTCATGTTCACCTTTCAGTTACCACGTATATGGGCCTCAAAAAAAAAAAAAAAAAAGCAACCAAAACCAAACCAAACCAAAACAAAAAAACACCCCTGAGCGTGTGTTGGTGGGAGGAAGAGAACACCAGAGAGAAAAAAACTGCACATTTTCTGTTGTGTGTCTCTCTTGTCTCATGCATGTATAGTGCATATATCTTCTGCTCTGTATCTTGTCTTTCCCCAAGTGGCAATGAATAGAAGTTTCTATTTTAGTGAAGTCAAACTTATTAATTCTTCTCTTTATGGTTAGTGCTTTTTATGACTTATGAAATGTTTCCCTAACCTCCAGTCATGGAGGTTGTTTTCCCTCTGTTAAGTCTTTATAGTGTTGTCTTTCATTGTAATTCAGTTGGAGTTTGCTAATAATGAGAGGTCTTTTTCACATTTTTCTATATGGATACTCCGTTCTGACTGTATTTCTTGAACATTCTGTTTTTTCACCATGCTCTGCTGGGCCAACACTTTTCATAAGTCAAGATCCACATGTGGATGGGTTTGCTTCTGAGCTCTATTCTATCTTAGAATTCTATCTCTGTTTTGTCAACAGCCTATTTTAATTACTAGAGCTCTATAATAAATTTTGATGTCAAGTAGGTGTCTTTGCATTTCCATATAAATTTTAGAACCAGCTCGTCAACCTGCGCACATACATATAACTATGTTGAGAATTTGAATGGCACTATATTTTTAGATACATTTGGGAGACTTGGCATCTTTATAATTGTATTCTAATCCATTTATTGGGGTCTTCTTTAATGTTTCTCTATTAAGCATTATAATTATCTATGAGGATCTTACACATTTTTTGTTAGGTTTATTTCCATATAATTGGTATTTTGATAACAAAATAAATAGTATCTTTCTTTCCTAATTGTTTTTGCTGGCATGTAGAAATATATTTGACTTCCATATATTGATTTGGAAGCTAGCAACTTTGCTAAACTCTTATTGACTCTAATAATGTGTTTTTAGTATCTCAACAATTCTAACAATTTATCTGTAGACTCTCTTGGATTTTCCACATACATAAATCATATCTTGTGTGAATATTGATAACATTTTTTCCCTTTTCTAACATCTAACTTCCATCAGAATTTTACCTTCATCCTAAGTCTTACTTAGAAATGTACTGGTTAATTTCCAAACATAGGGGTTTTCTACTTCTCTGGTTTTTTAACTGATTTTTTAAAAGGATTTTATTTATTTATTTTATTTTAGAGAGAGAGAGTGAGCTCTCGAGTGGGCCACTAGGGGCGGAGGGAAAGGGAGAGAGAGAGAATCTTAAGCAGGCTCCACGCCAATCCTGAGATCGTGACCTGAGACAAAACCAAGAGTCAGAGGCTTAACCAACTGAGCCACCCAGGCGCTCCTTAACTGATTTTTTAAATAGATTTAAAAAATTCTAATCAGAGTAGATGTTCTGAGTGACTTCAACCACTTCAAATTTGCTGAGACTTGCTCTGTGGCCCAGCAGATGCACCTCTCATAAGCTTGTGGAGATTGCGAAGTCTGCAGTTGTTCACTGCAAATGTCTTATCCAGGCTCATGAACCCAAGTTTGTTCATTGTTTTGTTCAAATTTCTGCATCCTTGTGGATTTTGTTTCCTGGTTAATTTCATCAATTGTTGAAAGAGGTGTGTTAAAATCTATTCTGTGGCTTTTTGTCCTGGTAATGCTGCCCCACACACTCAGACTTACCCATTACTAGTGAGTCAAGCCTCCCATTTCTGTGACCTGAACTTTAATGATGCTTTTAGCTTTGAAGCAAAAATATAAACGATGACATAATGCTTTTTATCACTTGGGATTTTTATTTTATCCTTCCTGAAAGGACTGGATTTATTTCTATGGAGATATAAATATTTAAAATCACACAGCAGTACTGTGCATATATAAAAAGGGTAAATACATGTGAAGTAAATTGGTTAATGTATTCCTAAAACTTCTTCATATACTTAGAATTCAAATTTTCTGAATCTCTCTTCAACTTAGACTCATTGGAATTCATGTTTTTCCATAAAATAATGTCCTCTGGGACATCAAAAATATCAGTGAGGCAGCATTTCCGTAAAGTGTTCACAACTACTGTCTCCATCCTGTAAGTTTTGATGCGGACACTTTCCTGATCTTACCAGAAGTTCTTAATAGAAAATCTTCCGACAAGAACCAGGACTCACACTCCTTCTGCAAGTGGTCCTTAATGGTTTGTTCACAGAAACATGGAGGGATTGTAGTGGCCTAGTCATGCCATCATGATTCACAACCATATCACTAAGCTTTTAGATGAAATTATTATTTAACTGCTCAGAAACACATCCATAAAATCACTGAAGACTAGAAAACATAGTAGGTTCCTCGATGGCTATTCCAGAAGACTTCTAACCAGCCCTTTATCAGCTCAACCATTAACCATACTCTTTGGGTCCACTCCCAATATTTTAAAAGAACTTCTTCTTAGACATTGTTTAAATTAAATTAAATATGGCAGTAACTTCAACAATTGGCAGGTATAAGATTACAGTGACACACTGCTTGTCATAACTCAAACTCATATTCTTGATCCCTTTAAAGATCATTTTGCATTGACAGTGTAATTTTAAGTCTCCTCAAAGAAGACAAATTCTCACACCAGGCATTACCTATTTGATTAAACACATATTGAACTTTTTCCTCAATGGCATCATGCTGGAAGTTAAGTGCATTCTGTTCCAAATCAGCAGGAAATTTCTGATAAATGGATATCATACATCTTCAAGATAGTTCCTTGCAATGCAGGATTCATTTACTCTAGCTTCCTATCACACTGAGATTGCATTCACCTATTGTGAGGAATTTGGCAATTTCTCTTGACACTGTTGCTTTGTGTATGGTAGGCAATCCTTTTGCATGAATCTCAGTAATAAAATATAACATGACTTCTTCTGCCTATGTGCATCTTTCTTCCTTTCTTGCATCCTATAAAGCACTTCACTGTTACTTTCCATGAAAATATGGAATTTAGGATCATCCATCCAGTGACAAATAAT